GCTCCTCTCCAGTCCAAAGCATCTCTCCCTGCAAAGCGCGCGGCAGCTTCGCTCCCCCCCCCCCACACCATCCCCGCCCCTCGCAGCTCATGGATCAAGCTGCAGCAGCGGTAGCGCCGCGGCACGTGCTCCCAGCTGTTTGGATGACCTGAAGCCTCCCCTTTTTTCCCACTTTCATCATTTTTATTTTTTATTTTTTTGCGCCCTTCTACCAGTCGTCTGGAAGGAGGAGAAAAAAAGCCTCCGTCTCGATGCTACGGACCATATTTGAAGCAGAATGTTCTCTTTCTCCCACAGAGGGAATCCTGGGGAAAGAGCAGCCGCTGGAGGTCCTCAAGACATCGGCGCTCAACCACATCCCAACAGGTTGGACGATCCCTGATCCCTCTGTTTGTGTGCGCGCGCGCATGTGTGTGTGTGTGTGTGTGTTGGGACGTGATTTCACTATGAAGCACATCCTGCATGCAAAAAATATCCCTCTGTTTTTGACTTAAAGGAAAACAGCGGCTGAAACTCTTGAGGATGCTCCGTTCAACCATTCATGGGGGGTAGTTAGAGGAGATTGTGTTTACTCATCTTTTGCTAAATAAACCAAACAAGAAAAAAAAAAAGTGCAGTAATGCTGAATGAATATCTGGAGCCATGCAAAATAAGACGTAGTGTGTTTGCTGCAAGTTCCTGAGTTAGTTTGGGTCTCAGAATGAATAGAAGCAACTTCTCATGCAGCTGAGTTCCCTTTTTTTTAGGGTTTCGATGGTGAATTCTCTGGTTTTCCTAGGAATGAATGATGAAAACTCCAATCAGAATGCACCAGAGGAAAATGAATCCGCTCTCTTCCCCCTCGGAGAGCAGGTTTGTGTTTTCCTCCCACTAGAGGAGAGTCTGATTCATAAAAATGTGGGCTCTCTCTGTACAGCAGCAGACTCACTTCTTCACATGCTGCTGGGGTTGTTTTCTACACGCCTCTGGCTAGGCTGATAAAATATTGAAATCCACCGGAGCGTCCTCATCAAATATTCTGGAAATCTGTTGTCTTGGATACGGGAGTTGCTTTTTTTTTCTTCTTTTTTCCGGGATCGTGTTTTTCCCAAACACAGGCTGGAAAATCTGGCAAGAGCATAGAGAAGAATAAAAAAAAAAAATAGTGAATGGAATTACGTCTTATTTGTATTCTCATTTATGAATTTTGTTTTGTTATAAAAGGCTTAAATTAAAGCAAAACTTCTTGCATTTATAATTTGGTGACAATCAAATACAGAAAATGTGAATGGAGCTGAGAGATGTAAGTGAGGGAAACATTGTCCAGATGGATGTGGGGTTGTACACTTTTAGTAACTGGATACTGCTGGATGAATAGACAGTGGTCTCTTTTTGGAATGCAAAGCTGAGGTCGCTGCACCTGCAGGGAGTTACATGAGTCAAAGCAAACATGAGTTTTGTTTCATTCAAAGCAGCAGCCATTGTTTTTAAGTGCCTTTGCCGCATCAAACGTTCAGCGGGATTTATTTATCGTGGAAAATGAGCTCATGATCGCTTTATTCCAGGTGAACCAGATTCATTCAAAGCAGGAAGTTCAGCGAAAGAAAAAAAAAACAGATTCCAGCCCATGTGCTCTCTGTCCCTTCCTCCTGCGCCAGCCGGGCGGGCAGCGAGGTGTGACATGCTCGATTAAAGCCCCTGCTGCAGAGGCGGAGATGGACCCCTTTCGCCTCCAGGTCGCTCTCATTCCCGTCTCCCTGCTGTTGGACTGCGACGCTGCAGATGCCGTTAAGGCAGCAATACAGTCAGAGCTTGTTTTTTGTATTTTTTGGGTGATTTTAGCTCATGGCAGAGACCTGCATGATCACTGGCTCCACTTGTGCGCTGAAGTTTGATCAGAAACAGATTTTTTTGTTTCGTTTTTCAGCGTTAATCAGGTTTTTACTGCCTGATACCAGTTTTCCTTTCTCACCTTTTTTTTATTTTAAGAAGAAAACAGTTCTGCAGGTTTTTCATATCTTCTATTGAATCCTAATGAGAGATGATCTCAGGATCCAATCAGACATCCCTGCATTATCTGCTATAAATATGTTCAGGGTTTGAGGAGCGCGCCTGAAGGGTTGTAAACAGATTGGTGATTTGCTGAGAAGATGGAGGAGGGAGCTGCTTTTTTTTTTTATGTCTGAATCACCTATAAAGCAGAAGCTCCTCATCGACCTGGAGGAAGCTCCTAAGAAGAGAACAGAAACCAAAACGTGTGGTTTCCCTTCGTCTTTCCTCCGACACGTCTGATCTAAATCGGGCTGCGGATCAAAGAGGATCCTTTATTTAGATTTCTCGGTTTGACAAAACCGAAACTGAACCCGCCTCTTGTCAAATAGGTACATTAATGTGTTGCGCAAGACTCCTGGAAGCTCCCCAGCTCTCTCCCCCGAGACGTTTTCTTTGTTTTGGTTCTGCAGCGAAGGTCCTCATATTATCCTTTATCCTGAAACACATCAGTAAACTGAGGTACGCGTTTGACGTCAGCTGCTTGAAGATGGGGCCAATATCAAAGTAGATCTTTTGTAACTAGCAGCCAGGTTGCTCCCAAGGGGCGAAGGAGGGGTTCTCATTGGCTAATCAAGCTTTTTTTTCTTTTTTCATTCCCAGCCTGGAGCTGCGCCACGCATGGCTAAGTTTGTTTTGGTGTTTAAAGCAGTGGACTCGTTGATAGTCGATCATGCAAAATAAGATTTTCAGCTTAACTTGCATCCTAACTAGCATTTTTAATTCAGTTTTCCCTTCTTTTGGCTGGCTGCTTTAAGATTTTCGCACAGTTTTGGTTAGAGGAAATTACAACAAAAACAATCAGGCAGTTATGTATGCTTTGTAAAACTATTTGAATTGAACCTCAGGGGTTGAAAATAAATAAAAGCGATTCCTGCCTGGGGACATTACGGTTTGAAAGGTAAATACACACCTAAGGATTCAGACAAAAAAGCAGCAGCCAGGTTCTGCTGTATAATAGAAGAGAACATAGCAGTCTGCTGGTCCGTATCAACAAAAAACAAATATATTATGTCCACAGGTGGGTAGACTACCTAAAAATGTAATAAAGTTAAAGAAGCACTACTTCAACACATTTCTATCTACCTAACTAACAGTAAAAAGTAGCCGTCCAATTAATCACTCAAGTAAAAATAAAGAAGTAGTTGGTAAAAAGGCTCATCAAGCACTGAGTAACTGTTTTATTATTTAAAATCACCTAAATCACACAGACCATAATATAAGGTTATAAGATCATGTTTTTGGACTGTGGGAGGAAGCCAGAGTACCTGGAAAGAACCCATGCATGCACATGGAGAACATGCAAACTCCATGCAGAAAGACAGCGGGCCGGGAATCAAACCCGGAACCCTTCTTACTGCAAGGCAACAGTGCGGCAAACTGTTCCACTGTGCAGCTCGAAGTCAAAGTTATTCAGGATGCATGATGGAAAAGGGCAAATGATCTTCACTGACAATATATTCTTCTTTTTGTTTTTTTTTACTGTTTATTACCCGAAACTCCTTGTTGTAAAAGTCTCAGCAGATAAAAGTAACCTTAAAATCAGAAACAAGATTGTTAGTTTGTTTAGTGAAACTTAAACTGTCTGTCTATGTCTGATGTAAATTAGTTCAAAATGCGTCTATTCTGTTAGCAGTAAAGTTAATCACAGCAGGTAGAGTAGCCAAAGATTTTACTTAAAGGTATAGTAGAGGATTTTTTCAAAAGACCCACCCTCTCCACTTAAAAAAACAATTCACATGCACAACCCTGTACCCGCTCCTGAGAGGGAACACCTATTAAATGCGGGCAAGAGCCCATTTCTCCTCATGCACGTTCTCTTTAAAAGTTGCTGTTTGCATCACTCATACAAGCTTACTTTCCAAAAGAAGATTTGCAATTTTTCAACCATGTCAGACTCACCACCTGGAATTGAAAATGGGCAAGAGTACGTACAATCGACAGTTAGGAGGACCATTTATTTTGATGATCCACCCGGAAAAAGAACATCCTCCACTATACCTTTAAGTAAGAGTAGTGAGACTTAGTAAAAAGTATGGTGCAGTAAAACTACTCCTAAAAGTTTATTTTTTATCAAAAAGTTACCCAAAGGTAACTAGTTGGTGCTTAAATCTTATTTTGTTAAAAAGGCGGAAAGAAAGCAGCATTGACATTAAAAGAGATGCAGCGATCCATTGTTTCAGATTGATATCTGATACTGATCCGATTCAACTTTTTATGAATGAACCATACATCTTGCCATGTAAGTGAAGGCTTTAGCTTTGAGATAAACATTGTTTTAAAAAACAGATATAAATGTACTTTATATTATTTATTTAGAAATAAGCAACAAAATGAAAAAGCCGTTCCATGTGCACTGGATTGAATCTCAGATATTAACTCACCGATATCTGATCTAGGTATCGGATCGGTACATCTCTAGACATTAAAGATGAAATTGCTGCATTTTGTCTATTTAGGGAAGGTTACTAGTCAAACGAACCATTATAACAAATCCAAAGAGAAAAGCAAAAAAAAAAAAAAACATAATGGCTAAAAGAACCTCTGTTAACATGGTATAAATTAAAGGGTACAACAGTAAACCTAGAAAACCTGAACAAGCCTTGCAAAAGATAAAAGCAAGAATTACTAAATGAAAAAAAACTTTTTGAACTTCAATTTTCCAACAGATTAGACCAACATTGTCCTCCTCTCCTTTGTAGATCTCTTCTTTTTGTAGATTGTGAGTATAGATTCATAAAACATTTAGGACAAAGTAAAAAAAAAAAAAGTATGTAAATTACAGCCTGATAGATAAAACCCAATCTTTACTACCTCTGTTGCAAAAAATAAAATGTAAATAAAAGCTTTAGTTGTCAAATATTAGGACAAGATAAATGTAGAAACAAAAAATTTTTTTTTTTTTGTAAAGATATCCTCAGCTTGTAAGCATGCTAGATAGTTTGAAAGAGCAGCGCTAGAAGTTGCATGTTCAAATAAATCCTCAATCAGCCCTTCAGAGAGTTAGTTTAGACTTGGCAATGACTCTGAAATGATTCTGGATATGCTTACTTGTAAAAACGACATGGAGAAAGTCCGTTTATGTTTGCAGCTCAACCGCAAAGGCAAGAGAAGAAGATTGAACTTGATTTTCCGGCCATGATTTGGAAACTGCAGCACAGTTGGCTAAACAACCTGCTACTTTTAACACCGTTTTTAGCGTTTTCTTTAACAGTATGCCGGCGGAGACTGAGATGAAGCCAAAAATAGGGAGAGATTACAGGAGAAATGTGCAGCAGCGTGCCGTTTTTTGATAGAAAAGCTTTACCTCGCTTGCTTTTTCTGACAGTTGCATTTAGATGTCAACAAGTTCACGAAACTTTCCATTCAAATTGCCTTTAAACATCTGATTGACAAAAGAATATTGCTGTTAACATAATAGAAGAGGGGGGGAAAAAATAAGATTGATGCTTCAGTATGAAAACATCTGTGGGAAAACTGCCCGGCTCTGTGTCACCTGAACCCACTCTGCGGGTTTATCTGTTTGGAGAATGATGGCAAATTCTTTACCGGGAATTTGAAGCGAGGAAAAGAGGAGGCGGTTATTGTGATTAGAGGTTTGGGATGGGACCTGTTTAAAGTGAGTGGGAAAAGAGAAGCTTGTCAGTGCATTAAAAAGGGATTTCCTCGGCCTTTCGGAGCAGGGAGAGCGGGTTGAGCGAGGAAAAAAAAAAAGAGTAGAAAGGGTGAGGAGACAGAGCAAGAGGGAGTGCTGTGTATGTGAGAGATAGAGAGAGACACGCTGGTTCCAGGAAAAGCTGCAGAATAAACAGGCTGCATGCCTGAGACTGCCCCGTGATGTCACCACTGGGCAAGCTGAGGACGAGGGGAGGAGAAAGAGAGGAGCGAAGGGAGACACCCATCAGGTTAAGACAAGAGTGGAGGACGGCAGAGGCAGAGAGCATGAGGAGAAGTCGGACGAGCAGGAAGGGGAGCATGCTGTCAGTCCCTGTAACAGATTGAAGAAAGAAGAGCGCAGGAGGAGGAAGAAGAAGAAGAAGGGAGGGGTGGGAAGGAAGCGGAGCATTGGTGAGGAGGAGAGGACGAAAAGAGGAGCACTGATGGGTAACGACAGCACTGACTTCTTTCTGTAGCTCCCGCTTTCATCTGGTGAGCAATTAGCGCTGCCAGGTTGGCAGAGATGCCGAGCGAGGTGTGTTTGTGGGTTTGCATGCATCACTGTAGATGAGTGCATCATTCTCAGAGACCCCGAACATTTTGTCCAGGTTCGGGGGGGGCAAAGCAGACTAAGTGAGTTATGGATGAAACCAAAATGCTGCAGCGCTATTTGACAAATGCAGATATTTATTTTCCTTAACCTGTCCTCCTTTTTTTTGTTTTTATCCTACGTTCCTAGCTTCACTAAGTCTATCATTTCTAATTGCTTTGCTTTTAAACTTATCTGACCCAACAGAACTTGAGATGATAAATTGGTTAAGCTGCAGAGTGACTCATGCAGAATCAGGTGAAGCTTTGTTGGGACTTTTTTAGAGATGCACCAACAAACGTGCTGCTTTCTGGAACCTGTCCACCTTAAGCTCTGAACAGTAATCATTGGGGGATGGAAGAAACAAATCTTTCCCTGATAACGGGATTTATCATAAATAAAATCTACCAGGTAGAATCAATATGAGGTAATTTCATTATCAAAAGAATTATAAAAAGAAACTGCATGTCAAGACTTGTCATAAGATATTTCAAGGGGTGACAGACGGAGCAAGACTTAAGCAGACGAGCAAGACAGGAACTTAATCATTTAAATGTCCTTTTATATCTGAAGTTGTAGTTTTATAATAGAAATATGTTATTAAAGAAGGCAGTAAAAAATAGTAAGGTAAATTTGCATATTTTGACTTTTAGGCTCAAAATGTGCTACTTTTTATCTTGAGAATTTTACCCCGTTTACACTACCCTTAAAAAACTGAGCCGAGACCGGTCCGAGCTCAGTAACTGAGATAACTTGTCGTGTGTGAACGGAAACAACCTGAACTGAACCGAGATAGACATAACCGGACCGCGCTAACTGCAGACCAGTTCCCGAGGTGGGTTCGGCTCGGTTTTTTCCTGACTCGGTTCTCTGATAACAAGAGCGCATGAGCAGAACGCGTCATCGCCGACTGGCTGAACATGCCGATTCACACTCCATTCCAGAAAGTCGGCCTCCCAAAAGCCGACTTTCTCAAGTACATCCGCGCAAGGTTGCCGTCTTCGCCTGACCCACCGCAAACACGGAAGTACAGCAATAATAATCAAGCATAACTTTCTGAATGTGACGGGCGCCGCCATTTTGATTTGCTTGATTCCCTCCTCCTTCGTCTTCTTCTTCTTGGGTTTTACGGCGGTTGACAAACAGCGTTTGGTGCATTACCGCCACCAGCTGCTTGAGTCCCTCCTTCAATCCTAGCAGTAATACCGCACATCGTCACTAGGAGGCGAGGAGTCGAGATAACCGAGATAAGTGTGACGTGTGAACGGTCGTCAAAACTGAGCTTGGCCTGGTTACCGATCCAAGCTCGGACCGGTCTCGGCCTGGATCGGTTTTTCAAGGGTAGTGTAAATGGGGCTTTTGACACCTAGGCTCTAGTGGACTGCGCTGATTACACTCCTTTGTAGTGTGGAAGTTGTTATATAGGAAAACACAGAAGTTTAAGATACTATTTAAAAGGAAACTGTCAGGACATGTTTGCAGGTTATTCGGGCTGCGAGAAAGCGAGAGAGAGCAGGACTTCACCAGCTAAGAGTTTCCGCTTTGTCCAACTTTTAACCTCTTCAACCTCTGTCCGTTAGGGAACACGCTGGATTTGGAAATGTTTGCAACCCTTTGAATATCTCAGAGTTAAGGTATATTTAGCTATTTTCAGCTGGGAATATAAATAAACACTGCTTTTGGTAAAGCTAACCGAAGAATCAAAGGGAAATCCAACTATTTCTTGCACACATGGGGGATTTAGAGAAATCCGAAGGGTTGCCGCTTCGGAGTTTTTCAAAAATCCGCCACACATCTACATTCTGTTGATGCATCTCCTTAAAAACAAACATTTTTATCCCCACATGCTAAGTTTTTTTTTTCTTTTTTTTTAAAGAGGAAGGGTATAATTGGTAGTGTCAGCTTTGTACTTTACAGAACGCTTTTATCCTTTGACCCTAAAAGTCATCAGATGAGGCATTGATTCACAGCCTTTAGCTGCAGAGTGACTCATGCAGATTCAGGTGAAGCTAGAACAGCCTGAATGACTCAGAGGTTAAAAAAAAGTTTTCATACAACTCTTCCTTTCTTATAAAGCTTCCTCTTTCTCATCTTTTCCTCACGGGCAAGATCCGAGAGCCGTGTCTTGCAGGCTGCAACAGAGAGTCTCCTTTTCAATTTGTTCAAGCAGCCTACGAGATGTGTTGTTGTAACCCCACCATGTACACACACGGCTGCTGTCCTTTAGGACCTTGTTGCATGTTGTTGCACTGTTCTCCTGCAGCAATAACCGCATGGGGGGGTGTTTCACCTGCTGCACACAGTGAAAGTCGAGCATTTAAGTGAACAGGCGCCATATGGGCTCAACAGTAACAAAGCTGCTTGGATGTGCGTTTACAGTTTGGCAATCTTTCATAGCTACTGCAAGTCTGAGGGGGGAAAGCATCAAGCTGTGAATAAATGCATGAGATATCCCGTGGCAGAAATAGAGAAAGTCTAAGAGTGTGCACGCATGTTGTTGTTGTCATGTTCCGCCACCAATTAGGGCAGCTGTGATGTTTTGTTTGCCGATTTATTAACGGAAAGTATCCCCAGCTCTCGCTCAACTCTCCGCAAACATGTAGGCAAATAATCGGACCAATCGGCTCCTGTTTGTTCAGATTTATTGGTAGGAAGGCGGCCGGATTGGTGGGCTTCCTGAGAAGTGATTTGGGGTCAATGCAGGCTTTGTCAGGTTGTTCGCTGGAGCTCCGTGTGGAAGTGAAGCATCAGTCACAGACGCCAGGAGACCAGTGGAGCAGTTTTTCTTTTTGCTTATCAGGGTTTGGCTTTAAGGTGTTTAAAGGATCTTTGAACTGGTTTTATTTTAACACGTGGTGCACACTTTGAGTTCATTTGCGACACTGATTAAAGATAGGCTTTTTACTTAGAAATGTTAACTGAATGAAAGGAAATATATCAATAGGTTTAATCTTAGTGCTTCATTTATGACTCTGTTATCCATTTATTACCTCAGATTAGATTTTTTTTTGTTTTGTTTTACAAGCTGTTTATCGGAAGCGCTGCTTAAAATAGTCTTGTAATTTACTTCTAATGTATATAATGCCTAAAATTACAGGAGGGGGGAAAAAAAGAGAGAGATTTTGCTAATTAATCAAAATCTCAAAGCTTTAAAAAAAACATCTCTTCTGGGCACTTTCTCGAGGAGGTAGACTAATTAAATACCGCTCTTGAAAAGCTTTCGATTTAATTCCCCTCTCAGCTTCATAACCTTGCAGTTGTGCTAAAAATGAAAACACTTCTACGGTCTACAGAACGAGAGGAACATGTTGCAACCATTTCTTTTTAACCTTGTGCTGTGCTTTGTTTAATTATCCTGTCGCGTTTGTCTTGCTTCGGCGTCAAAAATGCACATCTGAGGATCCAACGTTTGGGGAATATGCTTCACCACATAGACTGAGAATGAACTGGAGCAACAGTCTGCCTAGATCATGCAAAACTCTACTAAAACAGCAAAGCTTTTGTAAAATTCAAAAATTTTCACAGAATTAATCTTGTGGTGCAGTTCATTTTTCCTGACATAAGTAAAGTAAGATATTTAAAAAATTTAGAACATATTATTTAAGGGAAAACCAAAACATTAAGTGTGATTAACCACATTTTTCAACCACATACCCAAGGTTTGATTACTACCTGAGTAATTTGATTACCATATTTTCCGGACTAAAGAGCGCTGAAACTACCTGATCGAAGATCAGGTAGTTTCAGGTAGAATTGAGCGCAAATGAAATGATGCGCAAATTAGCTGATGGCGCATGTGCATAATTTCCGGGTCGTCCTCGATTTTATTTTGTTAAAAATACCTCAATTATGTTTTTCCTCCCCAAAGAGTACAAAAATATAATGTCTTAAAGGTTAATAATGTATTTCTTGAGAAAATTAATGCCTTAAAATCCTTTCTTTTATCAGTCGTCTGTGCCCAATCTGCACCGGAAATGGGATCCTACGCTACTTCCGGGAGCTAACTTTTTTGGCTTTGGATTTAAACATAAATGTAGTGTTTTCGAGTTTTACGTTTTCATTTCATTTTAACCTTATGCTATATAGTGCGTAATCTAAAGAAAGAACCAACTAAAATGCAGATAAACATGCTTTAATCATATTTCGCCGGACTGCTCTGAGCATGTCCCATGATGACGTCAGAGAAGCACTTTAACAAATAAAAATTGTCTCACAAAACTCAAAAAACATTTTTTTACAGATGTTTATTACTCTTCTTTAATGAGCTAAGGATATAAATAAGTAGTTTTAGTACCATAATTACATTATTTATGGACACCCGGGTGTGTATCTGTTCGCGCATGCGCAGAACGGATAATGCTTCCAGGACGGATCGGGTTGTGACACCGCACTATAAGCCACCTCCACAAAGTTTTTTGAAAAAACTGGAAACGTACATATATAAGCCACACCGGGCTTTAAGCTGCAACCTGTAGGGGGAGCTCTACTTACAGCCCCTATAGAAGAGAATAAGAAGAATGCTAGCTCCTGTTAGCTTGTTTTCGCAGCAGTAATGGCTTCTAATGAAAGATGAGACGAGTTGAGCCCAGTCTCTTCATTGGTTCGACACATTTAATGTGGCAAATAAATGTCAAAATGTGTGATTTCTGGACATTTGTTTTCTGTCAAAACTGCTGCTAGCATGTTCTTGTGCTAACTGAAAATTAGCCCCTTATTCTTTCATTTCCAACTTTGACTTCCCCTTCTGGCAGTTAGGAAAAAATCCACAAAAAAGCTGGACCTTCTTATAAGCCGCATGGTTCAAAGCGTGGGGCTTATTGTCCGGAAAATATGTTAGCTTTGAATACAACTTTTAATACTACTACTAGGTCAATAAATATGATTAAATAGAACCCGTTTGACAACACAAAGTAGGCCAAAATGCCTTTTAGTTGATTTAGTCAGTGTGTTATTATGTTAGTTTTATCCATCTTAAACAGTGATTTAGTTGAACTCAGATGGATGTAATTAAACAATGCTTCGTTGAGCTGACTGTCCTACATCTCTAACACCATGTTGGATGTTTTGGCTTGTTTGAAAACTACAAGGTCCGCTGCCCTCATCTTTTGCCCTTCTCCCCTCCTCTGCAGTGGACATCAACTCTGCGCTGCCCCTGCGTCTCCCTCCCGCTGCCATCCCCATGGACCTGCGCGTGGACCACCACCACCACCAGCAGCAGCAGGTGTCCTCGCTGTCCCCTCCGGGCCAGCATTCGCCCAGTCCTCTGGGAGGGTCGGGCGGGGGCGGCGGCGGCGTGGTGGCGGCCTCAGTGCGCGAGCAGCAGCTGCAGCAGGAGCTGCTGTCCTTGAAGCAGAAGCAGCAGATCCAGAGGCAGATCCTCATCGCCGAGTTCCAGCGGCAGCACGAGCAGCTGTCCCGCCAGCATGAGGCCCAGCTCCAGGAGCACATTAAGGTACATCATTTACCATTAGGATTATTTATAGAGGATCATTAAGGAGGGTTTCCCCCCTCTGTTGCTTTCAACACAGTTTGTTCATCTGCGGCTGCAAAAATAACGCCAAATTTAATGGAATTCATTGAAAATATGCAAAGCAAGAGCGTATAGATTTTTGAATTAGTCCAATTATTCCACCTAAACCAGCAGGCTTGTACAACCGTCCCTATTTAAGTCTCTTCCAAACCGAATGAAGACAGCTCTTAATTTATTCAGCCTCGAGAGTCTTCGATAACAGACTGAACTCAGCAGCAAAGAGTCGCCTCATCAGCTTTAAATGGCTTCAGTTTGAGCAGAGAGCGAGAGCACAGACAGAAAGCCACTTTAGCTTCATAGTCTTTAATGCCGTGGATATATGAGAGTAATATAGATATGCGTCTGTTTTCAGAGAAGGTGTGAAAAATGGATGTTTTAAAGTTTACTTTGAATAGCTAGATGATTAAAAACCTAAAGGTGGAATCAATTAGAACAGAACAGCTCTTAGAATCAAGTCAGTGTTATTCCTTTTAACCTTATCAAACATCTCATGGTGGGATAACTTGTTTCCTAATGTGGTTTGATTGTTTAGTTGGATTTTTATGTCATTTATTTATGTATATGTTGTGAAAAATCTATAAATCATTGAGTTTTTTTTCCTATCTAAGGATTTACTTGTGTAGAAAAGAGAGATTCTGTCTGTCTTTCTTCCTGTCTGTGACTCACCGATCTCTTGCTTTTTCTTCCTTACTTCCTGTTTTTATCTTTAACATCCTTCTTTCACTTACTCATCCTGTATTCTTTCAGTTCTTCCAAATTTCCTTTTCTCTTTGTAGTTTCTCTTTTTTTTCTTTGCTGACTTCTCTTATACTGCTAAATTTACGCATCTTCTGTTTCTTAATATAGATTTGAATAAGTTTTGTTTGAAAAAAAAAGACAAAAAATAATTGATAAACACCAATTCCCTTTGATTTAACAATATTTTTTATGATGTTTTGTGTCACCAAAATTTGTCAAATCACAGTGAATATTAAATATAAGTTGTATTTGACTGAAGGGTTTTTGACCTGATGAGTTTTCCAAAACTTCTTCAGAAACAATTTTTTGAACTATAGTTTTTTTTAACAATATTTATGCAAACTGAGAGTTTGTTTTTGATTTTAGTTTGAAATAAAGACAAAAAAAAGTTGCAGATGCACCTTTAAACACAGCAAGACGCGTTGATAAACTTAAAAACTGTAAAGCGTCCAAATAAGATGTTCTTTGATCTTTCACCTTGTGAAGAGTGCTTTTCTTTAATGACTATTGCCTTATTAATCAAACATTTACCAAATTGTGCTTCTTTAATAATATATAAACATTTTTGTCACTATAAATGTGAGGAAAAACCAAAAAGTATAAGACGCATTGGCTGTTTTCTTCTGTTAATTTCCTAACCTTCCACACTTTTAAGTTTATTTGCCAAATGCTGCTTCTTTCATTTTGTGTTGTGATGCTTTGGTAAATGAGTGATGCCAGCTAAAGGGTCCTCTTGGCTTGTGGTTGAGCGGCAGGACCACTCAGATGTTAGTGACGCACAGCTTCGGCGTGGAGCTCCCAGCCTCAATCACCTCTATTCACAGCCTCTTGTATACACATATAAACACACACCGGTGTGCACAGAATTGCCTTAGAAAACATGAAAATATACACATCCTCTTAAATTTCAACACACACGCTGTCAAAGCCAGGCCCAGTTTGCATAGAGTTGAGCTGAGTACACACGGCTGAGGGTAAACATTTGCATGCACTCACTCGTTTGCATGTCTGCAGCTTCCTGCATGCAGAGGGCAGGGAAATCTCATTAAAAGAGTTGTTCAAATTGTATTTTAGAAGGGAGAGGAAAAAAAATGTACACACCTCTCGCCAGCTGAGCCACAAGGGGTTTTAGGTGTGTAAGTATCTGTGTGCATGTGGGCGAGGAGGTCACTTTAAGCCTCCCCACTCGCTAAAACCCCCTCTCCCAACGTCGGTTTAAAGGCAAGAAGAGATCCGAAGCAAGTGGTCCGGAGAGCTCCCTTTCCTTGTTTGACCTAAGCCACAAATTTATTCACAACCTCATTTTTGGGGGTCCCTTACCATAAACACGAGCTCATGTACCTGCTGCGGAATGCCCATAAAAAGAAGCTGAATGTGTGGCGTTGCTTTTAACTGATCAAATATTGGTCATTAGGTGTGATAGGTAAGGTGATCTCATCCCACAAAAGAAAAGAAACCAACAAATGAAGGCTTTTGAGTGGCCTAGTCAAAGTTTGAACCTGTGTGTCCAACCTTTCAATCTTGCTTAATACATTCTGCATAAAACACTGCACCATCTTCACCAGAAAGCCTATTTTTAGTTATCCCAAACATTTTATGGTTGTTGTTGCTGCCATTTAATATTTTTATGGAACAATTGCCTTTTTTTTTACACAAGGTAATGCTGGTTTTAACTACTTTTTTACCATTGCTAAACCAAATCAGTTCAAGTTCTTCTAAGCTATCTTTATAGCTATGCTGCTATAGGCTTAGACTGCTGGAGGACATATTGACCACTTTTCATCCTTCATTCTATCACTAGAATGGAGGTGAATGATGAAAAGTATATAGAAATTAACTTGAGTTGAATTGAACTGAAATAAGGGAATCTCTATGGGAGCGAAAACATTATAGCAACCTGCTGTTTATTGCAAAAGCCAATTTCAGTGCCAGTCGTGATTATATTCGCAATGACTCACAGCGAGGGTCTCTGCCTGGTTTTTAAGGACCTTTGTGCGTGATGAGGAGGAGGCATTTGTGGGAACATTTTAGCTTCTGTAGCCGATTTTATTCCTGACCTTTGGTTGCAGGACAGGCTGCCAGGCCGCAGATGGGTTTTTAGCGGGAAAAAATGACTAGATTTACATCTAGAGCATTGAGCAGATGCTCCTCCGTCTTTTTAAAAAGAATTTACAGGGCGAAGGGGAAGTAAGCAGATTGGATTATGTGTTTTGCTAAAGCCTTGTTCCCATTTAAATTGCTTATATTTGTTTAAAGAGTAAAGCTTTTGGCCTGAGGTTTTTTTTTTTAAGGAATGGCAGAGGTTTAATTTTATGGCTTTGAGCAGCTGTCAGAGTTATTTACTTCAGATGGCAACTAAGAAAGAGCAGAAATTGAATGAATATACTTTCTTTAGAGCAGGAAAGGCAGCAAATTGAATCTGTTTTGAGGGGGAACTCAAATGAGGGCGTCATATTAGGCAGCTGAGAGGTGTTATGAAGCTGTGAAATAAAGTTATTTTTTTTTTTCATTATTTCTAATGACAAGACTCCCCAATGTTTTTTCATTGTACAGCAGCAGCAAGAGCTCCTGGCCTTGAAGCACCAGCAGGAGCTCCTGGAGCACCAGAGGAAGATGGAGAACCACCGTCTGGAGCAGGAGCTGGAGAAGCAACAAAGGGAGCAGAAGCTGCAGCTGCTGAAGAACAAGGAGCGGGGCCAGGAGAGTAAGTGGCTTAGAGTCGTAGGGAAGTCATATTTAAATGTTGAATCATTCTGGCTTAAACATGTATATAAATGTAAATATTTGGTTATTTTGGTCTCTTCTGACCATATGACTTTCTCCCATGACTCCTATGGATCATTCAAATCATTCTGGCTTAAACAAACGTATATAAATGTACTCTTTATCAGACCATACTGTCCCAAAAGTTAGAAAATTTCTATTTAAAAAAAAAGCAACCCTGTCTTAAAATCTGTGTTGTTTTTTTCGTTATTTTATGCAGGCCAGTTAGTTATATGTCACTATAACCTCAAACTTGAATGGGCTTCACTGTGACTTTATTCCCTGTACAAAGCATTGCAAAATTGTCAAGTTGAAAGAGAATAAGATAATTTTTTACAGTCCCTTGGTAAAAATATGCAGTGACCCCCTTCCCCTTTGACTCCAATGCTATTAAGTAAAATTCCACGTAACCAATAACCAACATAAGCAACCTAATCAGTAAATAAAATCTGTTTAAAAATTAAGATTCTTTGCATTTTTTGAACAAATAAATAAATAAAAATTTACATTTGCTAAAAAAAAAAAAATGTAAATCTTTTTTAAACTGATGCTTTTGTCTTTTATTAACCACTCTTTTAGCATTTATTGTTATTCTATAGTAGTTTGGACCACAAATATCCAATGACTTTTACTCAAAAATCAGACTACCTATAAAATATAAATACAATATTTCTCTGTAAAATTTGTTTTATTTTTATCACATTTTTATGACCCAAAAGTATTTTTACTCTTGGGTCATATTTACTGCTTTGTGCCTATGTGGCAAAAAGCTTGGATAGTGCTCTGTTAATTTTAATTTGTTAGAACGGCCTAGTCAAAGTCAAAATCTGCATTAAAATAAACAAAACACTTACAGCTGTAAGTGTTTTCTACAAGGTACTGACTGAGGTGAACAAAAGTACAAATTAAGTTTTAAAATTTTGGGTTTATTCTACAATGGGTTAAAGAAAACCAAACCATCGCAATTTCGATTTTTGCCTGGATGGCAAAATGTGTAAATATTCAGATTAAAGCATCTTTCGGTGCTACAGAGGCCCTATTCAAAGCCTGTGATCTACACCCAAATGACCAAAATGTGGGAGAATTCAAGACATCACCAGAATTTATTCAAAATACCTTCCAGGTTATGGTTGTAAGGTGACGAAACTAGCAAAGCTTTAGGAAATATGAACACTTTTTCACGGCACAGCACGTGAAAAAAATGTTAGCATCTGTAGGAGAAACTACGGCAAAAGATTTGACACCTCTCATTATAGATTCTGTCTTTTAACAGGAAAATAAGCAAAACAAACAAAACTAGACACTTCAACAGCTAAATAGCTCCATAAATAGTTTTCCATGTCAAACAGGCATCAGGCAGCTCGTTCACATCTGCCAGGCTCAGTAAGAGCTCCCCATTCAAACAGCTCCAAGGTTGAAATAACTGTTGTGTTTGCTTCATATGTGTTTCCATTTCACTTGGAGAGCCGGCCTATTTGCAGCGGTGAACGAGCCGTAATAGCCCGGTGGCCTTGGCTCAGGCCAGGCTGAGCTATTACCACTGTACCACTCTCTCTCAACAAGTTCATTGAAAGAAAGTGGACTGGAGTCCTTGAGAGTGGTTTCACACACTGTATGGAAAATGTTAGGGCAAACAAGGAGTCAGAGGGTTGCAGTGTTTACTCCCTTGTATCTGTACTAGTGTGATATTTGGTGTTGGTGCTGGCAGAATTTTCAGATCAGTTTGGCATCCTTTTTTTTTTTTTTACGTCCTTTTTTCCTGCACCAACTATTCATTTGAAGGGCGGTAAATTATCACACTCTATGCAGATGATCATTTGTTTGTCAGTACATCCTTGCATGTCATATCTAAATGACTTTTATAGCAAGTTTTTAAACAATTAGATCAGAGCTTGCATTTAAGATTTCTCTTTTAAACTTAAGGGGACAAAAAAGGAATTTTTTTTTAAATATATAAATTTTAGCTTATATTATGTTCCAACATATGGTGGCTTTTAAGTGGTTCAGAATCATGAATTCAAATACTACAAATTTTATTTAATACAGTTGCAAACATAAAGTAATGCATAATTATGATGTAAAATTATACTTGATATTTAAATGTTTTTTTCAGTTAAAATCTGAAAAATTAGCCATGCAATTATATTCTTCCCTTCCAAATCGATACTGATCCAAATTTCTTTGCCAAATAGTGCAAGATCAGTCAGAACATCACTAAACATTTGATATATCAAGTATAAAATATTTTGTGTTATATATCCAGTGTTAAAACCCCCCAAAATACATAAAACTTTGTGATTTTGTGTCTTTCAAACTAATAAATATTGAGAATATATATATTTTTTTTTTTTTGTTTTTTTTTACTTGAGCTGAGGGATGAATGTAAATCATATGTTAGGTTTGTTGTTTATTTTGAGGTTAAATTTTCTGTTTTCCGATGTACATCAGGTGCTGTTGCCAGCACCGAGGTGAAAATGCGCCTGCAGGAGTTCGTCTTGAACAAAAAGAAGGCGCTGGCCCAGCGGAGCCTCAATCAAGGAGGTCTCCCCAACGATGCTCCCTACTGGTACCGGTAAGTTGAACTTAGATCAACTCAGCTTTTAAACCACAGGGGGAAAAAAAGCTAAACACGACACTAAATAATGACGCAGTAGATTGCGTTTTTAACCTGTCGCCATGCTTCCTGTCCTCCTGCCCACTCTGTTTGAGTTTAACTGAATGACAGAGGAGAGCAAACAAACACGCAGGCATAAAGGTGAGAGGAGGATATTGGATGCTGATGATAGCAGCTCTTGTTTGAAAGTCCTTGAGGTTAATTATAATACCAGTGGAGCTCTTTTACAGGTGTGCACACTTGCTAATTCAGATTTGTTTGTTATACGTTTTGTTTCTCACACGATGGAGTGGGCATTAATACAGCAAGGTGATGTTGACTGACACATTTGTTATGTAGGCACACACAGTACGTCAGTAGAAACCAGCTGAATGAAATGCCAGTGAGTAATTTCACTGCATATTTAGTTTGTGCTCGTTTTACAAAATAAAAGCACAGGTGAAAGGTGATTTTTTTTCATCTCCCTGTTATTGCTGTTTCCTTTTTTTGTTTGTTTGTTTTTTATTTTTGTCTGTAGTCTTGAACCTTATTGTGTTTGTGTTAGATTCTAACACATGCACAGTTGGCTGAACTGAAGTGAAGAAGTATTACATTTGAAATTAAAATAAGAGCTTTCAGATCTGCCTTTGGGGGAATCTTCACATGTTTTTTTCATTTGAAAGGGAATACATTTTTCATTGAAAAAATGATGTTTAGATTATTGAATTATGTTTTTCTATGCTTGTAAGCAATAAGTAAGTAAAGATTAACTATACTTTAAAGGTCTTTGATATTATTTTATATTTTTAGAGTGGTTATCAAGTTGGTAATACTCTAATAAGATTTGAAGACCCACAGGGCTCTGTTTTGGGATCTGTGGTTTTTGAAATTTTATTTCCTCTTCTCTGATTAAAGCTTTGAGTTTTAGATTTGAAATGATGATCTCTTTATGATCTTGTTTTAAAAATATTATAATAAAGTTAATGAATAACAAACAGATTCCAACCAACAAAGAATAAATAATGTTAACTTTGTTGTAGGATCTAGTAAAACGCCCACAAGCGTCGACTTTCTACAGCTCAGACTAATACCGTGTCTGTGTATTTCTGCCTCTTCTTCAAACTTAAATATAAATTTCTCCACTCTTTGGACTCACCCTCCCACTAAGTTCTGGAAGAGACGACTGTGTATCCTCTTGTCAGGAACATGCATTTGGGCCAAAGCCAAATGTGGCTTAAGTTTTCCTGCAAACAGCACTTTGTACTGTAGGAAGCGAGCAGATGGCGACACATGTCTGCCTTCTTGCCAAGCGATTTGCATGATGCCTTAATCATTTAGGCCCATGAGATCCATGAAGATCGTTTCTTTTTTTTCTTTTTTTTAAGGCGTCAATGTTTGTTTAGCGTTTTTTTTCATCTGATTTTTTTTGTGTTGCCGTTTCTCTTTTTTATCCTGCAGAAAAACTCAGCATAGCTCCTTGGACCAGAGCTCGCCTCCACAAACCGGAGTGTCCACCTACAATCACCCCGTGCTGGGCGTCTACAACCCCCGGGATGACTTCCCCCTGCGGAAGACTGGTGCGTTTTTTTTTCAAACTGATAGTTTTACTGCTGGAGGCTGATGAATCTGTATGCTTAAACAGATTCTTTTTTATTTTAACTGTTATGGCCAGAAGCTGCAGTGCAGACTTTTGTCTGGCATATTTTAATCACATCCACATTAGACTGTCAGGGTCTCCCAGCATCCCCCACATGAGCGTGTTAAAGAGTTAGTGTAGGTGGTAATGGAGCACAACAGAGTTAGAGTTAAGTGAAGAGGAGAATCATGATTTTTTTTTCTATTAAAATCTTTTTGTTTTTCTTTGCCTGCAAGGATTCTTTCAGACTAAATGTTTTTTGGAAAAGATTTATCAATCTGGAGCTTGATACTTTAGTGGATCTCTGATCTTTATGTTTTTACATAAACTTTTCAGAACAGAATTAGAATTTCTGGGGTATGTTGGGAGGATCTGCTGTGGTGTAATGGCTATGATGTGAGGTTCTGAAGGGCTTAGTTCTTGGACCTGAGGGTTATAAAATATCTCTGCCTTTTTCCCTATATTTTCCCTGTATTAGAGTCTATATTTTTTTATTTCTCTTTGAGCACTCTTTAGTAAAAGTACACTTATAAAGCTTTTCCTACTGTTTCCTAATTTGCTGTATTTAATTTTCTTGTCATCGTTTATCTTAACCTTAATGCATGCTGACTACTAAAGCTTACATTTTCCAATTGATAATTGCCCCGCCTCCCCCAAAAAAAACCCAATTAAAAAAGAAAAGTAAATATAAAAAAAAGTTTTTAAAAAATCATCTTCTTTTGATAACTGACCCATTGCTCACTGATTAGCCATGCTTTTCTTTTAAGATCAACAATGATGCAAAAAATCAGTCGGTAACAAGTTTTTGCTTGAGGCTAACCAGCAACCAACTGGTCAGAAGTTAAAAAGTCTGATTTCTTTCAGGCTCATTTAATGTGCCTTCACTTTTGATGCTGTTTGTTTCAAGATTAGCATAAATCACATAGTTAAACACATTTTCTTCATTGTAATATTTTCTATTGGATGAAAATATGCCTCTTCTTTTGAGAAACCTCAAACCTCTTTTGTTAAATTAAAAACCATCTCTTACATTTAGTTGAAACAAATACAAAAAAAATTGTAGTTCTTAAACAAAAAAAAGAAAACTGACAAGAAATTCTTTAAAAAATACACAAAAATTGCATTTCTTCACCATTACACTGCAAAAAACGATCTAGAAATATGTATATACTTAAATTAAGTGTATTTACCCTTAATTTAAATAGGTAAATAAGATGGTTTGCATATGGATTGATTTTTTATTACTCTTAAAATAAGATAATTAGATAATATGCACTTGAAATAAGAAAAGGGTGGAAATCAGACTACATTTTTCTGATGCTGTTTGATTTTTTTTCTTGTAGTACTCTGCAGGAAAAACATTCTGTAATTCTTTAGATTATTTGTATAGTTAATTATCTTTTCTTGCATTTAAAACGCAGAGCTGAAGTTTTAACAGCAGGCTGTAGCAGTAGTGTTGCATTGAGGTGCGTGTTTTTTAGCCAAATCCCGTTAGATCCGTATAAAGCAGCTAAAACACCCCATAATGCCCCGCTGGAAAAAAGATTTGCCCGTGGCTCACGGTCTTACATCTTTCAGACACAGAGCAAAACCAGCTGTTTTCCGTGTTTCTTTGTTCCCTGTGTTTATAAGTGCAGCTTTGTGTAAATCGTGGACGGCGTGCTGCGGCGGTGTAGCTGTGAAGCGGCGGTCATCTTACAGTGCAATTATTCACTTAGCGCAGCGGCAGGCGTATGCAGCCAGGCCCTGAAGACTCCAAGGCTTTGAGCCGCTGGCTACGACGGCGGGTAGACCACAGTTGACACTGGCCCACACATCCACATTCCAACCAGGGAGAGCAGAGGAGAAGGGGAAAAAAATGTGAGAGTAAAAAAGAAGGAAGGGAAAGTAGGCACTGACACTGACTATTTTCTGGGGCAGGTAGGTTGGAGGTCTCTTTTCAGCAGCAGTGAAAGGGAAGATTATAGCACAGAAAACAAAAGCTTTTGAGGTTGATTTGGAATAAATCATGCGGCACAATGATCTCATAAAATAAATCTGCTCTATGAGGGAAAAAAAACTAGGCGAAAAAGATCGTCATATAGTGCCACTGGATTTTTATAATGCCATGGATTGTGCTCTGTTGCCGGGAGTGAAGAGAACCTGTGCCACCCTGATATTTGCCAACAGCGATGACGTGCTTTGTGGAGTTTACTTATGGTAATCCCAGCTCGGGATAGTTTAGAGGCCCCTCCTTTTATATCAGTGCCAGGTTGTAAAGTCAGATACTGAAAGCCAGGACTTCCAGTGACGGTTGAAAAAACAAAAAACGAAAAAGGAACATCCTCCATTCTGTGTTTTCGGACAATGTCTGCACTAAAAACAAGACTGGCTGTAAATGTTTTATGATCAGTCATGTGGCTTTTAAAGTTGTCTCCACTGAAAATGCCACCAGAGAATACCAGCGACTGAGTCGGAACAAACTTATTTTTGCGTGACAAGAAGGGGGCTTCTAAAGAAAATCGACAGTATCATCCAGATAGAGGCCTAGAGCCATTAACCTTTCCTACATATCACACAGCGAGGGGTGAGAGAGCATCCCATGAATAATGCCCTGTGTGCTTACACACACAGAGATGCCTCAGAGAGACGTAGCAGGGCTGGAAAAGCGTGAGGCCCTCAGACTCACAGTGCTCTTTGATAGAAGCAGAGCTAAGCAGGCTGCACCCGGCACAGCAAGCATGAGTTGTAGGACTTCTTCTACTCTGCTAATATTGCACAAAGTTTCTCCAATCCTATATGTACGCGCCGGCCATGCACTGTTGCCCCAAAAAATGAAAAGCATCAAGCTCCACTATAATTGAAGGACACCTTCCTTCTGAATGTACAGCTTTCCGGAGCCCATTGGGACCGGATCGCAACAATGGCCAGCTTGTCAATGGAGTTATATAATATAGAAAGGCCCTTCTAATAAAGGTCATGGTAAGGAAGCAACTTGCGATCACTGGTCCTGAATGTTAAACATAAAAAAACATAGTTTGTAGATATTATGTTGGAAATAAATGCAGATCCAATCCAAATAATCCAATTAATTAAAAAAATAAATAAAACACGGCTAAATCAGACAGTCACTAATAAATCCAACAAAAATCCACATCATTAGTAAATTCAGCTCCATTAACATTAATAGCTCAGTCCAGGAAAAATGGTAAAACTAAGGCCCCGTCCACACGAAGTCAAAACGAACACGAAACGCTAATATTTTCCAGAACGTTTGTCTTAAAGATGGAGACGTAAAATAAATGTGATCGACCACATGAATGCATGAAAACGCTGCAAAATGTATGCCAGGCCTGTAAGTGGCGCTGTGGTGCCAAAGCAAAAATAGGCGAAAACAGGCAACGAAATGTTGGACATGCGCAGTAATATTTATACAACAACCAAACCGGAAAACCCCTGCGGGTCCATTTTCGTGGTTCAGTCAAATTCAGGTGCTGAACTATGTCGTCGATATTGCTCTGTTCTTCCTGGAGATATTCCAGAAGAAGAAGATTCTGTTGTAACACTACCCTCTGAAAACCGAACCGTGTGAAAAAGGAAAACATTTTTTAAAGCTAGCCTTAGCCCAAGACTCAATGGCTTAGGATTACTTTCTTTATGAGATAAAAACTAAGAGTGACAGTTTCTATTATCAGCTGTATTTCATAGGTTGCGTCAAGGAAAGAGATTTGGCTAAATATAAGAGAACTGCACTTTCTAAGGTAAAAAGAAATAAAATATTAGAGCCAAGTTATATGGAGGAGTAGATCAATTTACTAACAAGATAGACCCAAACTAAAAGAAGAAGCATGGTGTAGTAGCTCCACTAGGGGTGGGTATTGCCAAAGAAGTCACGATTAGATTCGAATCACGATTCACAGGCCACGATGCGATTCTATCACGATGCATCACAATACTTGAATTATTGTGATGCATTGCAATATTTTCTCCTCCATGTTTTGTTTTTGAATGACTCGGCGCAGTATCCCGCGGCCAGAAATGCTTGTGACACAAGGCAGCGTGCGTCAACACATCCACAGCGACATCTACTGGACTGGAAGTTGTATTACACTTGTTTTTGGCTGATGATCGCCAACCATTCATGCAATTTTATTTATTTATTTTTTTTTATTAATAATCGATACTTTGCGTCAAGAATCGATGCAGTAGATCACGAAAATTAGAATCACGATGCATCATCATGACGATTATTTTGCACACCCCTAAGCTCCACACATGGATCCGTCCTGCAAAATAGCAAAGAAGCACTGAGACAGGTTTACTTTCTTTGTTTAAAAGAAATGCAATATTAGAGCACGGTTAAATGGAAGAGTAGATAAATTTGTCAACAAGATAGACCTAGATAAAAAGTAGAAGCACTGAATTAGGCTTACCTTTTATGGGGAAAAATAAACAAACAAGCCATAGTTAATGGTGTAGGAGCTCCAAATATAGATCCGTCCCACAAAATAACACAGAAGCGCTGAGACAGGTTTACTTTCTATGAAGGAAAAACATAAAAGAGAGACAGAGTTAGTGGCCGTAGTGTAGGGTGGAGGATACTTCTTTCTTAGAGATAAAAAAACACATAAATAAAAAAAAAAAAGTAATCTGTTAGGATAACAAGTAATGCCTAAAGGAGAGTATTGGGGTGAAATGAGGAGATTGTGTGGGAGGAAAAAGGTCTATTAGTTCTCCAGCAGCATAATTATGCAGATAAGTCAGGAAAAGTGCATTCCCACGAATTAACTGTTTTGATTAAATCTTTATTGTTGTTTTCTCCATTAAGCATTGTTTAGCATCGGTTGAATTTCTGTAAATATCCCACTGTGTCATCTTCCCTTCAGTCGTCTCAGATAACAGAGAAAACCTCTTTTCGCAAGTATTGACATTTTCTGGATCGATTCCACTTGGCTTTGAGTACATCTCTGCTGTGACCATCAGGGCTCCTGTCACGCTGGATCATTTTCTTCTTTCAAATGTGTTTCTCCCACTGCTGAAACAGAAACCAAACGCTTGTGTTTTACCGGGTGCTAATTATCGTCCCTGTCAGTCACGTGGCTTTGTTTCATCTCTTCTGCATGCTAATAGAAGCTGTCTTGTGATCAAATTCAGGGAAAATTAGGTCTGCTTAAGGATGCTACAAGCTTCTAGGGAGTTTGGATGAAATCAGACCTGATTGCACTTTAGAGATAACTTTTATCTTTAACTTTTTTTTGATGTGTGTCTGTTCAAACCAGCAGAAATTCAACATGAGGGATTTTCTAGAATACCTTCCTATTTAGCATATTAAAGCATCACTTCACAGCAAGGCGTCAACAAATTTTCAAGCGTTATGTAAAAGGCACTAAATAGCCTCTGATAAGCTTCTTTTGCTTCCAGTTCCAGAGTCCTGGAAGAATTTTAGCCCTAGTTTTGTAAGAAAAACATTTTTTTTTTTCGCTTTTTTTGTTGCATATTCACTTCTTCCATTTTCTGTGCAGATACCAACTAAATTTAAGTAAGAAGGATTGATAAATCTGTTTTGTTTAATACTTCCTTTGAAATCAATCTGGCTGTAATGTTATGGACGTTAGATTGAGGTATATGGAGCTAAATTTGGGCCATAAAATCTATAAAAAAAAACAACAACTAATTTAAACCTTAATTTTTGGGTTGAAAAAATAAGATATGAATAACATACAAAGCTAAAATAAGAACTTTGTTGAAAAGAAAACTTATACCTCAAAATGTTTGCTAAAAAATCTATTATAGAAAAAAAAAATGTATTGCTTCAAACTTATTGCCATTTTTTAAGTTTGGGGGCGGGGCCTCATTTGCTTTCTTTAAATGATCTGGACACTTTTGATATGTTTGCTTGTGTCTCATTCATTTTTAATGTTTACTATTTTTGGATGGAAACAAATGCTGCAAAGGGTTAATTTGTAGGGAAAAACTTTAAAACATTTAGTGCCATGACACTAAACAATTTAGTGTCTTGTATTTTTCTGTTTAGTTCTAATAATCCTTTTAAATTCTATCTTGGGGCCAGATTAATGATATTTCACTAAGATGCAAAAAAAGTCTGTAAAAGGGCAAATACTTTATCATACTTCTGTTCTTATTATTTGTCAAATAAATTCAACTTTACAGAATTTTTAACCTTTGATTTTGCTGAAAAGAAAAGTATCTGTCGCTGCCTTAATCGATTTATAAAAAATCTGCAACCCTTTACTAGAGTTGCAGTAAATTGGCTTCCCAAGCAGACTCCTGTCTACATTAATTGGTTTGACTCCAACTGGAAGGAGCGTTCTGTCCCTCTCGGTGCTACTGTACCTTCACACTTCATATTTCACACTTCTCTCTTTTCATCACATTTATTTTTACCTGCCCCTGGAAATGAGACCAAATCCACAACTGTTTGCGATAAAAGGAGATTTCCCCGCAGCTTTCTGACATTCTCAATTTTCTAGCGGAGAAAATTTCTGTGGCGGATGAATCCTGTTGTGTTGTAATGTGGGTTTTCGAGTTTGATGTCCAAAAATTAGATAATGAATAATGAAAAGATTCCAGGCCGATGAATGTCTGGACAAAATAAACTGAGCATTAGTGCCCCGCGGGGCTAGCCAAGGTGACATGCCGTTCCCTTCTCCCTGTCTCCATTCACAAGTCCATGACAGCCCAGACAAAAGACTAAAATGCCATGTAGGCAAGTCAGACACGGCTCCCAAATTGGAGCTAATTGCATTTTAGCTCATCTTTGGGAAAATATGAATTTGGCTTGTTCAGAAGCATCTCAGTGGGAGGGATGAATTGTAGGCTAAATGAACAGCAGCGTGTAGCAGTTTGTCTTGCAAAGAGGTTTTAATAACAGGGCAGCTTTGTGGAAGGTGCTCCATAACAGATACGTGTGCAGAACCTAAGCTGGAAGCTTGTCAGGTTGTTGCTTTGAGGAAAAAAAAAAAAATTACGATTATTCAGTCTTTCCTGGTATTGTAATATTAAATGTAAAAAAAAAACAACAACACATCCAATAGTGTCATAACTAGTAAACAACTGTTGGGCCAAAAGTGCAGATCTATGTATGTCAAGAAAGAAACAAAACCCCAGGATTCAGTAGGGCTTTATGTTTGGTCCAATCTTCTCCATCCAAATTTTGCATCACTGCTTGCATGACCCAGTTACAGCCAGGCTTCTGGTGTTGGACAGATGGCCTCACATTTTAATCTATAATACTCAGCTACAATGAGGAGTCGATAATTGACTCAATGATAGCAAGGTGTTTAGGCACCGCGGGCAACAAAACCAGCCGGAATCACAACTCCTCCACCACCGTGCCTGACTGTCATGCTTTCTTTAGTTTCATCAAACGTGGCACTGTGCATTATTACTAGACATTTTCCTCAGGGAGTTTTGTTGATTTTGTAATTAGTCTTAACATTGCGTGGGAAGATAACAACCGGCATTGTGTGAACACAGACCTGCATGTTACAACCTCCTCCCAAAAAAAAAAAAAAAAAAAAGAATTCTGCTCAAACCTCCTTTACTATAGAGTTGGTCTGATTATGTGAGAGGGATTTGCGATGTCTGGAAGAGTCTGATATTTGAATATGAACCTTCCTTCTTTCCTTCCTTGCTCACACTCTTCCTTCCTTCCTCGCTCACTTTCTTCCTCACTCACTTCCTTCCTTCCTGGCTCACTCCCTTCCTGTCCTTCTTCCTGGCTCACTCCCTTCCTGTCTTCCTTCCTGGCTCACTCCCTTCCTGTCCTTCTTCCTGGCTCACTCCCTTCCTGTCCTTCTTCCTGGCTCACTCCCTTCCTGTCCTTCTTCCTGGCTCACTCCCTTCCTGTCCTTCTTCCTGGCTCACTCCCTTCCTGTCCTTCTTCCTGGCTCACTCCCTTCCTGTCTTCCTTCCTCGCTCACTTACTTCCTCCCTCCCTCCCTTTCTTCCTTCCTTTGTCGCTCCCTTTCTTTCTTCCTTCCTTCCTCACTCCCTTCCTGGCTCACTCCCTTCCTGTCTTCCTTCCTGGCTCACTCCCTTCCTGTCCTTCTTCCTGGCTCACTCCCTTCCTGTCCTTCTTCCTGGCTCACTCCCTTCCTGTCTTCCTTCCTGGCTCACTCCCTTCCTATCCTTCTTCCTGGCTCACTCCCTTCCTGTCTTCCGTCCTTGCTCACTCCCTTCCTGTCTTCCTTCCTCGCTCACTTACTTCCTCCCTCCCTCCCTTTCTTCCTTCCTTTGTCGCTCCCTTTCTTTCTTCCTTCCTTCCTCACTCCCTTCCTGTCTTCCTTCCTCGCTCACTTTCTGTCTTACTTCCTTCCTCACTCACTTACTTTCTTCCTTCCTTCCTCACTCACTTACTTTCCTCCTTCCTTCCTCGCTCACTTTCTTTCTTCCTTCCTTCCTCGCTCACTTACTTTCTTACTTCCTTCCTTGCTCACTTACTTTTTTCCTTCCTTCCTCTCTCACTTACTTTCTTTCTTCCTTCCTCGCTCACTTTCTTTCTTCCTTCCTACCTCGCTCACTTTCTTTCTTACTTCCTTCCTCGCTCACTTACTTTTTTCCTTCCTTCCTCTCTCACTTACTTTCTTTCTTCCTTCCTCGCTCACTTTTTTTCTTCCTTCCTACCTCGCTCACTTACTTTCTTCCTCCCTCCCTCACTCCCTTTCTTTCTTCCTTCCTTCCTTGCTTCTAACTGCCATCATGCATCTAAGGAGTGGAGCCACACTTTTTATGGTCTTCCTGAAGATACCAGATCATTTGATGTCAAACCTTAACAACGATAAATGACAGCTGTTCTCCCTTTCTTCTCTTTCCAGCCTCGGAGCCCAACCTGAAGCTGCGCTCCCGGCTGAAGCAGAAAGTCAGCGAGCGCAGAAGCAGCCCGCTGCTCCGCCGCAGAGACAGCCCCATTACTACGGCCAAGAAACGTTCCCTGGACATGGCGGGTAAAGAGGAAGAGACCAGGAACCTGGAGGTTATAGAGTTTTGCTCCAGTCTCCTGTGGTGGATCTGATTTGTCTTCTTCTCCTTGTCCATCCCAGACTCTGCATGTAGCAGCGCCCCCGGCTCCGGCCCCAGCTCCCCGAACAACAGCTCCAACAACATCCCCAACGAGAACGGCATCACTGTGTCAGTCGCCAACAACATGGAGGTATATCACAGCGAGTCTTCTTTTAACTAAGCTTCCATAAAAAGTGCTGAAATAATTTCCACAATTACCCACCGCCTTATAATCGTCTAACTTGTGAAATCCCATCAGAATACATTCTGCGGCTAAATTATGTTTTTTTCCAGAGTATAAAATGAGGAGTGAATAAAACTAGCTGTAAGACATTGAGCTGTAAGATTAGATTTGTGTCTCTCGTGAAAGCGCTCTCCTAATGGTGCTGATTTCTAGCTCCCAAACATTTCAGGCTGTTGCATATACAAAGGCTCTGAGCAAGGCATCTTGAGGTGATGGGGCTCCAGACGGGGAGACAGGCTTGAGGAGCTGGCGTGATGCTATTTGCGGAAGCCCTTAGGGACACTGAGGGAGGGTGGAGGAGGCTTGTGGCTGTGACAATGTTATAAAACCAAGAGGGTGCAAATGTCTCTCTCCATGCGTGGACATCCGCTTCTCTGTGTCTTGTTTTGTTCTGTTGTTTTTTTCTCTCCACGTTCATGATGCAAATGATTTAAATGTGTTTGCTAGGCGTCTCTGGCCCAGAGGCTGTGCAGCGGTGCTGAGCAAGGCTCCATCAACCAGCTGTCCCTGTACACTTCCCCGTCCCTACCCAACATCACTTTAGGGCTGCCCGCCACCGCAACCGCCACCGCTGCTTCGAACGTAAGGAGGAAATAAGCCTGCCGTCTGACTCTGCAGCCATTTCTTTTGCAGTTTAATTTCTTGTTTTTTAATGTTGTTATTTTTCTCTCAGGTCACCTCAGCACAGCAGGACGGGGGCCTCCAACCAGCCCTCTCCCTCAGCCCTCCGTTTCTCTCCGGCGGCCACTTGAGCCCCTACCTTGGAGATGGAGGATCTGGGGGCCACGGCGCTCACAGCCCCCTGTTGCAGCACATGGTTCTCATGGAGCAGAGTCCTGCACAGAGCCCTCTGGTGACAGGTGAGGGCCTTAAAGATGGAAAAAAAAGAAACACTGATCATTTTCCCTGTCTAGATCGGTTCCTTTTTTTGCCGTCTGGAACATTAAGCAGGAATTTAAATTTCACCGTTATGAAGGTCTGGAATTTGGAAAAAAAATTTTCTCATTGATTGAAGAGGATTTTCATCCTTTCCTCCTCCTTTTCTTCCTTTATCATACCCCTCCATCCTTATCTGTGGCCTTGCTTTTTCATTGCCTAAGTTTCTCCCTTAAATCCACCCTTCCTCTCTTTCTTTTCTTTTTCATCTTTCCATACCACCATCTTTTCCCACTCCTTGTCTGGTTATAATCCTTTCATCTTCCTTCCTTTTCCCCATGTCCTCCTTTTTTTCCCCTCGCATCCTTCAATCACCACCAAATCTTTGTCATAAATTCAAAGCAAACTTTATTGGATATTGTCACACAAACAGGATGTATTTTAAGAGTCCTAATTAAAAAAATTCCAATTAAATTTTTTTTTAAATGTATTTATATCCAAATGGCATTCATTGTTTATGTTTTGTTACTTTACAACTTTCTTATCTTTTTTGAGGTTCTAATCACTGACAAAACCTAGAAGATTTCAACCTGGACAACATTAGTGTCCTTTTCTAACATAATAACATGGATCTATGCTTTAAAGAAAATGAGTGAAATCGCCCTATAATGTAAGGCAGAAGTGAAAGTTAGTTAGAATATGTTTTTATTTTTGAATGATTTGGGATAAATACCAAGCTGGTAAATAAAACCAAGCTGGTAAAGGTATGCAATGTGGAAATGGATTCTAGAAATGCATGGATTGAAAATGTAAAACTGATGTTAATTAAAGGAAATAAGGAGAAATCTGTGAATGCAACAGCGAAGCATTTAGAAAAAAAAGCAAAGCGTTTTAGCACTCAGAGGGGATGTGCGCTGCTCTGTAACCCCGTCTCGCTGACAGACGTCCATTCATTAGCGCTAACTAATGAGCTCCTTTCATATGTCAGCGTATGCTATGAGAGTCTGACATGGGTGCATTGTGTGCCCTTTCCCATCAGCTCAGTCACAGACACAAAAACATAGCTTCTATTTTCAGGCAGGCATTAGCGCTGAAAGAGCTGTGACGCACATACAGACGCACACAGGAGCATTTTCTGCTCGTTTATTAAAAAAAAGGCAACAAAACGCACGCACGGTGGGGCCGTGTGGACGCCCACACGCAGGATAAGAGCTGAGAAGGACTTCCAAGAGCCCCAGATGTGGGAAAATTCTCATCCGACAATAGAAAGTCGTTAAAACTTTGTAGTTTCCTTCTTTCTTTCTTTTTTCTCCATCTCTGCAGCGATGCAGCTGTGCATCAGCAGGCTTTATACAGCCCCGTAATGCAGCAGCAGACATTCTGCACAGTAGTCAAACTCCTCACATCATTTAACAGCCTCGATTAAGGTTTGCCGCTCGCGCTTGTCTCGCCGCAGTGCCGAGCCGCAAACGGCCTTGAGATGCCGTTCGGCTCGGATGGTCACAATGGAGTAGAAGCAGTATGGCAGCACAGATGGTTCTGCTCGTTGGGTTCACAGATGCATCTGCTAACCAATCTCAGGTTCAACAACACCGATCCAGAAAGTAGGAAATGATCGAATATTTAAGTGGGATTTTTTTTAAAAAGGTTTACCTTTAAGATCCAGATGATTTTTGCAGAAATCAAATTATATAGCATATTGCTTTGCAAAATATTCCTCCCCCATTTGATCACATCCCTGCTATAGCTGTAGTTCTGCTACAACTACAGTAAGTGTTTTCATTAATTGGCCTCCTTTCTACAGTAAAAGTGTCCCATAGTATGATGCTGCCATCATTGTGTTTCAACACAGTATTATGTGTCCAGGTGTTGACATCTGCTATAATAAATGCAATACAACTGAGTTTATCTGTGTTACATCGAGGCGCATAAAGCAAGGTTCACATGCAGTCTGGAGTTTAAGGTAGTATTAGCAGATCCTGGTAGCATCGTTTGGGGAATAGTTTTTGTTTTGGGTCTTTAATCGCAATCGCAGGGCCATCCTTTCTTCACTGTTTCATCCTCCCTTTACCCTATGTGCCCTCATTTCCTTTCCTTCCTTCCTTCCTTCCTTCCTTCCTTCCTTCCTTCCTTCCTTCCTTCCTTCCTTCCTTCCTTCCTTCCTTCCTTCCTTCCTTCCTTCCTTCCTCCCTCACTCACTCACTCACTCACTCCTTCCTTCCTCGCTCCCTCTCTTTCTTCCCTTCTCACTCACTTTGTTCCTTCCTTCCTTCCCTTCTCACTCACTTCCTTCCTTCCTTCCTTCCTTCCTTCCTTCCTTCCTTCCTTCCTTCCTTCCTTCCTTCCTTCCTTCCTTCCTTCCTTCCTTCCTTCCTTCCTTCCTTCCTTCCTTCCTTCCTTCAATGTTTCAAGCCATGTTTCAATCTCCTTCCTCCTTTCCTTAAAGCCAGTGGTACACTAGTAATCTTTCTCATAAATACATGCTCCCTTTCTTCCTTCCTCCCTACCTCACTTTCTTCCTCCCTCCCTTGCTCCCTTTCTTTCTTTCTTCCATCCTTCCTCGCTCACTCACTTTGTTCCTTCCTTCCTTCCTTCCTCGCTTACTTTCTTACTCACTCACTCACTCACTCACTCACTCACTCACTCACTCACTCACTCACTCACTCACTCACTCACTCACTCCTTCCTTCCTTCCTTTTTTTTCCTTCCTTTTTTTCCTTCCTTCCTTTCTTCAAAGTGAAAACTCAACAAAACTTGAGTCTGTGGCAGTATTTAGCCGTCCATTGAAAAATGTTCAGGGAGCCTGATACAATCACAGCCTGCTGCATCCTTATTGTTTTCCAGAACAAATCAGATCTTTCTCCAACAAAAGGCTGATAAAAAGCTGCAGTCTGTCAGTATTAGTAGTTTAACATCTTTCGGCAGAATGTTCAGATCAGATCATAAATCATCCAAATTGTTCTGCAGCTGTGCAGTTAATCTAATCCATCTCTTCTGTGGACTCGGTGCAATAAGCCTCCTCCCCCCCCCTCCTTCCATTTGTGTGTGTTCCCAGGCGTAAGCGGCATATCTATGTCGTCAGCATCCATGGCCAAGCTGCAGAGGCAGCACCGGCCCCTCGGGAGGACCCAGTCCGCACCACTGCCCCAGGGGACCGCCGCACAAGCCCACGCTCAGGCTCTGGCCCTGCAGCAGCTGGTGGTCCAGCAGCAGCACCAGCAGTTCCTGGAGAAGCACAAGCAGCAGTTCCAGCAGCAGCAGCTCCACCTCAACAAGGTAACAGCTGGAAGCTCTCATTCCCAACACCTCCTGCCTCACTCTCTCCTGAGCTCTTGGGATCTTCAGAATAATAATAAAATTAAAGAAATGATTTTGTGTGTCACTGAATGGGGTTAAAGAGGCTGGCTCCCTGGTAAAACCCGGTGGATGTGGCATTGCAGGGAAATAAACAGATAAATATCAGGGCTGTGAGCTCCAGAGTGTCGTAGTTTGCGTAGGCAGCAGCCAAAAGCCCAGCCAATCAGGCGTGATCCATAGATGTGTGCGAAGTAGTCCACTTTTTTTTTCTCCCTCTCTTTGTAGTATTTCTGTTAGTGAGTAGGTGGAACGAGGTATGGCTTTACATGTACAGCAGAACCGGCACGCTCGTGCAAATCTGTGTGTGACGAACACTAACATCCCCGTTTCCCTGACTGTGGTCGGTGCGAGATAACCGTTTGCTGCCACGGCAACAGAGCGGAAACCCTCGCCTTATATGGGCAGGGAGGAAGCGAGCGATTCGTCGCCTCCTGATGGCTTTTACCTATAAGAGCAGAGGATTCGCCGGAGGAGATGTGGGTGGATGAAACAAGGGATTTCCTCTCCTCCACCTCCGCCTCCCCCGCTCTCCGCTCCCACGTTCCCTCCCTCGCATATGTTTTTTTTTTTTTCTCAAGCTCCCGGCCGGCGACTTTTTACACAAACACCTCTGGAAAAAAAAAAAAAACGTGGTGCCCGAACATGTGTGTTTCCCCTCGATATATGAGGTCATGTTCATTCATTTTCGCCTAAATCTATAAGATCAATTTGCTCTTTTTGATGGATGCATATTAAATCTAAAAGCAACAAAATCAGATGATTATTAAATGTCTGAGTCAAACCTTTAGATAAAAAAAAGGGAAATTAGTCCATAAGAAAACTGCTTTTCTCCATGCAGCTGAAAACAAATCTTTTTGGTGTCAAACATTAAATGTGACAGTTAGGATTAGATCAATTACCTCTATTTGCTAAAAGATAGAATAATTCAATCATAGTTGTCTTTCAAATTCAAGGATTTTCAAACATTTGCTTCGCATCAGGTGGAAATAATGTTAAACCTCGGATCAGACGTTTTGAGGTTCCTTCCAGAAGCTTCTCTCTATCATTTGCTTGATTTTTGGCCCATTCCTGCTAACAGAACCGCTATAACTGGGTCATGTTGGTTCCATATCAACAAATCCCATCTTATTTTGTTCCCAAACATGGCTTGGTTTCTCCGTAGCTGTAGATGAACCTTAAAGGAGAAAAATCATTCTATCCTAACAGGACTTTGGGCGAGCGCCCAGACTGAAGCCATTCCTCGTTGAACATCAGAAGAGAGTCTCCATCTGGAGCAATATTTCCTCTGATCTGTGATCACAGTTCATAACAGGGTCTTTGACGAACAGCTTCAGTTCTCTATGTGGAAGAAGGGGAATTGTATCAGTTCTGGAGATGGAGTACTTTAAATAACATATTTGTCATGTCGAGCATCTATAAAGATTTAACCAAAGCTGGTTTAAAAGCTTGAGTAAGTCCCACTCACTGCATCAGATGATGCAACCCCAAAATAGTGAAATGCTTTCTAAAAGTAAAAAAAAAGACAGGATCACCTTATCAAATTTGGTGCCTTGCGATGTTTTTCATACAGCTTGAATGTCTCTACACATATTTCTCGTTACAACCTCAAACTTTGATGTTTTATTGGGATTTTATGTGAAAAACCATCACAAAATATTGCTTTACTATGAATTGGAACATAAAACAAAACCCATTTTTAAAAAACGTATTTGATCTAAGTATAAATCCGGCTGTTCTTAGTGAACAAACATCATCAGGATGAACAGGAAACACAACTCTGTTCAACTCAAACCTTGATTAGTGATTAAAAAAAACATAAAAGGGCAGCATTAATCAGCATGGCAGCCAAGATACTAATTGTAAATGTGCTATAGAGATCCTCAGCTGGGTGGAGAACCTGTTGGTAGAATGTTTACTGTCCTACTCACTATTTCAACTTCAATATTAAAGGAATAGTACACCCAAAACATGATTAGCCTTCATTTTCTACTCACCCCCATGCTGAACAACACCCTGGAGTACTTTTTTGATATCTCAAATGCATCTGGAGATCTGGGAGGCTTCTTGCTGTCTGCTGACATTCAAATAATGGAGGTCTATGGTGCCCGAGACAGAAAGGTCCATAAAAGTCCACAAAAAACATTTCAATATTCCTCCATACTGCTCGTCCAATGTATTCCAAGTGTCCTGAGTGGGTAGCATCCAGAATTTACTCTAAACAAAGTCATTTAGAATGTTTTTAGAGCATAAACAGTAGTGTATAGGATTTCCTGAAAGCGCGCGCTTGCGCGTTCACAACGCTATGGAAGCCGGCAGACCAAACCAGATGAAAGTGCGCATTCAGCGTCTGCTCTTCCAATAATGCAAGCGTAGAAGAAGAAATGTGCTGTTTACCTGTGCAAAGAAAGAAACAACGAAAGAAAAATGTCTGAGGACTTCAGTGTTGAGGAAGAGCATGAGTTCTTTGCCGAGCTGAATGCGCACTTTCATCTGGTTTGGTCTGCCGCGGTTTCCGTAGCGTCGTGAACGCGCTTTCAGGAAATCCTATACACTACTGTTTATGCTCTAAAAACATTCTAAATGACTTCGTTTAGAGTAAATTCTGGATGCTACCCACTCAGGACACTTGGAATGCATTGGACGAGCAGTATGGAGGAATATTGAAATGTTTTTTGTGGACTTTTATGGACCTTTCTGCCTCGGGCGCTGGGCACCTCCATTATTTGAATGTCAGCAGACAGCAAGAAGCCTCCCAGATCTCCAGATGCATTTGAGATATCAAAAAAGTACTCCAGAGTGTTGTTCAGCATGGGGGTGAGTAGAAAATGAAGGCTAATCATGTTTTGGGTGTACTATTCCTTTTAAGGAAGTTGCACCCCCATGGTGAAGCATGCTGGTGGCAGCATCATGCTGTGGGGATGTTTGTCCTGATCAATACAGGAGAATGCTAGTGAAAAAAAAATGGTGAGATTAGACTTTACTGTTCTAGAACAGAGCATAAAAGAAATGCAAACGGTCTAGTCAAAGTAAAAATCTAAATCTAAATGAAGATATATAGAAAGACATGAAAATCAATGTTTTGATCAGTGTGCATCTACTATTAATTTTACCCTCTTGATGTGCAAAACTGATGGCCGCACCCGCTATCATTTAACTTTTCACCTTTTTAGTTGTTAAAGTGCTAAACAATGTTTAGTCCAGTGGAGTGAAAACACCATTAAGGCTTTGCAAACTAAAAGAAAAATTGAAAGAATTTAAAATAAACCAAAAAGAATGAATGCATATTTTAGACAGGAAGTGAATGACCCTGCAAAAAGCGGTTCTGATTGTTAGAAAAGTACAAAACAAGTGTCTTCTGCATCCAGAAGCATTTCTGAGGGAGACTGGGCTTGATTGAATCAGATAATAAGAGCAGGTTTCTGAGAAAGTGGAGCAAAAGGGGTCAGTGGGGGACGGGGGAGAGCAGAGTGTCTGTTTGGATGCAAAGGAGACTCAAAGAGAAGCTGGGGGGGGGTTTGAATGAATACTCTGACGTCATTGGTGTCCCTTGGAGTGGAGCCAGTGGACCCGAGAGGCTTGTAGCTCTGGGAACACACACACACCTGTAGCCCACGCTTGAGAATTCACACAAACACTTGTCTCTCTTGCAATAAACACCCACGGCCCACGAGGGCGAGTGCTCTCAAGCTTTCCGAATGATCCGTGTCGGTGGAGCCTGAATCAATGGCAGAGTGGAGTGCCACCGGGGTTAACAGCGGGGGGCCTGGGACGAGTCGATGGCAAGCGCCGCAACGGGGAGTGTGGAATGTCTCTGATCAGCGAGACACACATTCCGCCCTGTCGTCCAGTCAGCGGAGAGGCAGCTCAGATTCAATTAGAAACAGACAGGTTTGAGAGGAGCCAGGCACCGAACCCACTGAGTAATCCAAATTAAGCTTGTTAAATGAAGAATGCTTTAGAAAAAAAAAAGGAGGGGGGAATGATTCATCAAGGAATTTGATTTTTTGCGCTGGATGGGATTTGTTGGATTATGAAGAAAAATTCATCATCTCTTTTATGTCCCTGCAGATGATAGGGAAGCCCGGCGAGTCGCCCGTGGGGCGGCAGCACCAGAGCCACCCGGAGGAGACGGAGGAGGAGCTGAGGGAACACCAGGATGCGGGAGTTCTGCCTCCAGGGGTCACCATAAAGCAGGAGCCCCCAGACCCGCAGGAGCTGCAGGAGGAGGCGCTGCAGCAGCACCGGGAGCGGGAGAGAGACAGGGAGCGGCAGGTGGAACAGGAACTGCTCTTCCGACAGGTAGAGGATGAAGATCCAACATGTGTGCATGAATTTTGTTTGTTTTGACTGCCATCTGTTGGCCGTTCATTGTAAATACAGTTACTTGTATTTTTTTTTTAAGCTACATTGGAATAATTTAATCCCTGTTTTTGTTTTTTCACTTTCTCCCCTGAGCAGCAGGCTTTGTTATTGGAGCAGCAGCGGATCCACCAGCTGAGGAACTATCAGGCCTCCATGGAGGCCGCTGGCTTGTCTATCTCCTTCCCGGGACACAGGCCCCTTTCCAGAGCCCAATCTTCTCCGGCCTCCGCTTCATCCTTCCCTATCAGCGTCCCTTCACAGGATCCCCCCGTCAAGCCTCGCTTCACCACAGGTCAGCAGATCAGACATTAAACAACTTTGGAGAAAGTTTTGCAGTAAATGCAATCTTTATAGCTAATAGTTTTAGCATTTTACCTACTTATATTTGTTTTGCTTCACTTCCACTGAGTTTCCAACGGCTTAGAACAGGAAATGGGTCTGAAACATTTAAAATCCATAGAGTTCCTTTTCCCTGAGTCCAGGGAGTTAAAACTCATTTAGAGATGCAAATATTATATAATCTTTTACTTAGGGCTGCAACTAATGATTATTTTACAAATCAATTAATCTGTCGATTATTTTTCCAATTAATCGATTAATAATCAGATTGCAAAAGACTTTTTGCGAAATTAAACCATTTGAAACTAAAACTTTTCACTTGAAGAGTTCTGGATAGAGCATAATGACAGATGTTAAATATCTCATCTTAAATACAAAATGTTTACATATTTTTTTTTATTGCAATTTTCATATAATTACTGCTTTAACTGGGTTGCTCTGTTTCCAAAAGGCATATTTTACAGTCTATACTCCAGCCAAAGAAGGTTTTTCCTTGCTTCAACGATGACCTGTAGTTGAACAGGGGGAAACATAGCAGAGCAAAAGCCTATATAAGAGCCTGCGTCCATAAAGCGATAGCTTTTTCCAGATCACATGACCTGGCCAATGACGGTACGTCTTCTCCTACCTTACATAGCCGGTATTTCAAGAGGGAAGCCCCGCTCTTAGCATTCATAGTGTCAGGGGATGTTCCAACTCTTTAGGTCACAAAGTCTGCGGTGTGCCTTAAAAAAAATCAACAGTTAACTTGTATTTTCAGCTTTTTAAAAAAGGAAAAACTAAACTTTTCACAATTCCTTAGCATAGCTTTTCCTCCATAGGATATTATTTGTTGTTAAAAACAATCTTAAACACATAATTTCCAAGATAATGACAGGAAAAATAAATCTAAAAAGCACAGATCTGTTCATTTTAATGTCAATCTGTTGTGAAATGTAAATCAAACATTATTATATATATATAATTTTACATTAGTTGGTTCTTTATATTGATTTAGGCCATTATCAAGGTTTTTAAAGAGCCAAAGGTTGTAGACCCCTGGTTTAGAGAAAGAGAAGTGTGAATTTCACCCTGGATTATTTAAAGTTTGCTAACACTTAAAGCTTAAAAAATGTGCATCTCCTCAGGCCTGGTGTACGACTCCCTGATGCAGAAGCACCAGTGTATGTGTGGAAACACCAACAGCCATCCAGAGCACGCTGGGCGCATCCAGAGCATCTGGTCGCGGCTGCAGGAAACGGGACTCAGAGCTCAGTGTGAGGTGAGCCTTAAGAACTCGCCTCCAGAGAAAGCATCAATTAAAAGCAGAAACATATGAGGGCTGGATTCATCTTATGGCGTGTTTTTGTTTAGTGTATCCGTGGGAGGAAGGCCACTTTGGAGGAGCTGCAGACGGTCCACTCTGAAGCCCACGTCCTGCTGTACGGAACCAACCCGCTACGGCAGAAACTCGACTGTAAGCCTCATATGCTAAGACTTTAAAATTAAGGATGAACGCTGCTGCCGTTTCCTTCCATCATAACGTCTCCTCCTTGATCTACAGGCTCCATAACTCCCATGTTTGTGCGACTGCCGTGCGGAGGAGTCGGGGTCAGTCACTTTGCTTACATCTTCATCCTTCTCGGTCCGCTTGAGTTATGCTTTAATGTCTTTCATTGGGGGTTTTAGGTGGACAGCGACACCATTTGGAACGAGGTCCATTCCTCCAGCGCGGCTCGGCTCGCCGTCGGTTCCGTTGTGGAGCTTGTTTTCAAAGTGGCGACCGGAGAGCTAAAGGTAACGTTTTTTTTCCTGCTGATAGCTTTAAAAAGCCTTAGAAAGAAGTTAATCTTTTTGTTTTAATATGAGATTTAAACTCTTCTTAAAAGCTTTATTGCTCATTTGTTGCACTATAAGTGGAGATCAGTGCTGCTGTGGTTAACAGACCCTTCCTCCTCTTGTGTTTTTTTTACCAGAATGGTTTTGCAGTGGTCCGCCCTCCTGGACACCACGCAGAGGAAAGCACTCCCATGTAAGGCTACAGCCGTCACTACAACGCACTCAAATGCGCTTATTTATCCTTCCATATGCAAACTGCAGTCTCTGAGCAGGAAGAGCAATGACAATAACCATTGAGTTTATTTGCACATAAAGTCTAAAATGTCTTAATTCTGCCAGCTGGATTTATTTTACACATCATGGTCTGGAAAGAATCACTGTAAAAACAAGAAAAAGGATCTTTTGAGTGTGGAATTTTTGACAGATCCTGTCTTTGCTTCTGTTTCAGGGGCTTCTGTTACTTCAACTCGGTGGCGATTGCAGCCAAACTCCTGCAGCAGAGACTTAGCGTCAACAAGATCCTCATCGTGGACTGGGTCCGTCCCTTTTTTTAGCCCCATTTTAACCAAAAGTGATTCGGTTAGCGTCTTTCTAGTTTTGAACCTTCTAAATAAACACAATTTAACTCTCTAACCTCAGGATGTTCACCACGGTAACGGCACCCAGCAGGCGTTCTACGACGACCCGAATGTACTCTACATCTCCATCCATCGCTATGACGACGGCAACTTTTTCCCAGGAAGTGGTGCACCTGATGAGGTAATTTATTTGTTTTTGTTTTTATTGTTTTTTTTCTGGAAAGTGTCTCTTTTTTAATCCTAAATGGAATAAGGTCATAAGAGCAAATGCTTTAAATCAGGGATTTGCAACCATTACAATATAAAGAGCCATTTTTGACTTCTGTCCAGCTAATAAAACTGTTTAGAGCTGCAAACATTACTTGACCTTTTTTTTTATTTTGTAAAAATATTGTATATTTAATAATAAATACCTTGATATTATACTTTGGTTTTGTAAAGGGAGCAGAGATTCAGAAGTAGGATCTTCACAATTCTGTTGGCAGCAGCAAAAAAAGCCATCACACACAAATGGTCCAAACAAAACCCCCTACAGTCAAAAACCGGATGGACATCTTAGAAGAAATTCACGGCATGGAAAGATTCACTTTTATAATAAGGTTGCAACAAGCATAATATGAAGATCTTTGGAAAAAATGGACAATTTATATTACTGATCACTTACCTGTTCTCTGTAAATTGTTCTGTTTCATATTATTTCTTCCTTTTAGAAATAATAAAATAGAAATGAAAAAAATTATAATAAATAGATGCCAGAGGAGTAACGTCCTTTTTAAATAAACACAGTGCCATTACAAACTTTAGGTTTTAAAATGAAGGAAACATTTTGCAAAAAGAAAATAAATGAATTTCCAATAGGTTGCTGAAATTATTGGGACATTTTTTGGAAAATGTTTTAAAAACCAACATTTTTCTGTCTTAAAAATGTAAAAAAAAAAAATATATATATATATATATATATATATATATATATATATATATATATATATATAGTGATTTTGTGATTTGACTCTAGACCTGCTGATTAAACACATTTAGAGCGTCAATCATTACATATCTTTAAAGAAAACCTTTATTTGACAAATATCTACTACACAGTTATGTAAAAAAAACATTTTTTTCCTACTTAAAAAAAGAATAAAAATATGTTTGTTTTTTTTCATTTACAGTTAATTTATTGTGTGAATTGAAGAAAAAAAATCTTCATCACATGGTGTGGCACTTCCTGGGAAAAGTTTCCAGGGTCATGACCTGTTTATAAAATCCGTTTTCAAAGAAAAAATGTAACAAATACTCAAAACTGGCTGCTAGAAAGTTATGTTATCTCACTTAGCAAAATAAGGTTTATAAAAATATTTTTGCTCTAATTAGAGTTAATTTTGGGGGGAAAATTCAGTGCTATTAGTCGGTGAAGTAAATGCTAAAACTAGTGGCAGCTGGTGGAGTTTTCTCCAGGGGGGCTATAAATTGAAAATGAACGTATACCAAAAACCTTTAAAACGTATACTAAGTTATCACAAAATTATATTTATATGAATGCCAACAAAAAAAAATTATAAAAACACATTATAAAACAAAACATAATTTCATGTACAGGTTTACCTTTTGTACATAAATCTTCCCGCCACTTGACCTGTGAATCACCTGCAACACGTCTGCTCTGTGGCGGGAGTTGGTGAGCAAATATTCTTCCCGTCAGCTCGGGGAGCACCAGAGCTGCACCCAAGCTCTCCTTATCCTTCTGTATTGCAGAGGAGGTACTGCATATGTTCAACTTTTAACGAGAGTCAATAAGCAAAATTTTTGCTCCCTAGGACGGAAATACGTCACCAATCTGTACTAGTCATTAAAGATTAAATATGTATCTTGCACATCTGAAAAATACATATTAATATATTTTGAAATATTTGAAATGTTAATTTAAAATTAATTTATAAAAACAAAATACATATATATTTTTTATGTCTTAATCAGTGTCATTGGGTGGGTGGGGAACCTAGCGCCCTCTATTGGCCATCCGCCACTGGCTAAAACATGCATTTCTTGGTATATCTATTGTCCTATTCTCTTTATTATTTTAGCCGAATTGATGAGGAGCCAATATGGAGTTCCTAAAGAGCCACCTGTAGCTACAGAGCCATAGGTTGAAGACCCTTCTATAAATCCTTATTCCACTAAAAGGCCGTGTGTCGACCAATTTTCAGTTTTCTGCTAAAGTGCTAAAATTATAAACCTGACATAATCAACTAAACTTACACCATGGATAAAGGCCATAAGTTATTGAAGCTCAATGTGTTGCATTGAAAATTTAAAAAAACTTAAAATGTATTTGATGTTTTCCTTCTTTTTTTATTATTATTATTATTATTTTTTAATCTTAGATCAAATTTTCTCTTCCTTTGTCTTAAATGGGAAAGACAGGAAAACACTGCATTTGATCCGGGCCGATTTTGGCAAATTTTTACATGCCAAGGAATTAGCTACTCATCTAAAATTGACCAGATCTGTACACTGCAAAAACAATCTAAAAATGTGTCAAAATGTCTTAAAATAAGTTTTTTAAATTTGAGTTGCCAATGGAATGAATAGTTTTACCCTTGAAGTAATATAATTTGATTTAAGCAGTTGTTCTTTCTTATTCTAAATATAAATTGTCTCATTCCATTTGCAGTGTCTCATTTACCTGCTTAATTCAAGAAGAAATGCACACATTTTAAGAAAAACTGCATTAGATTACATTTTTTGCAGTGTAGTCTTCTCCATCCTTTCAATGTGGTTATGAAGTTTGCTAAACTCTACTTGGAATTTAACTTAAGCGTCTCCCCTGATCTTTATGATTCTGTTGGATCTGTAATGCTGAGGGCTGATTTCCTTTCCAAAGGTCCTGATATCTGATTCAGAATAAATTCTATCATAAACCTCTGTTTAAAGCCAGATCCTACTGAATAAGAATTGGTGGCCTTTACTTGAAAACTAAAAAAATAGTCCTTAATGGGCTTTGTGGCAAGACAATCTTCCACTCCAATGGCAAGCTCTGCACAGACACAAAATCAGCCTTCAGCTGACATTAGAATAACTGTAGTTATAAATGTTTCTGTTTGCTTCTCTGTTTAGGTCGGCAGTGGTCCTGGGGTGGGGTTTAACGTGAACGTGGCCTTTACTGGTGGCCTGGACCCCCCCATGGGAGACGCAGAGTACCTGGCTGCCTTCAGGTAACATTTAAATAAAGTCTAATGAATGGATTTGTATTGCATTCTAATTAGGTGGGCTCTATCATTAAATCATATTCATGTATTTACCATAAACAAATGTATTTAGTTTAACATAAGCTCTATCAAAGAGGTACCTCCCTGCCAAAATAAAATACTTCTTCCTTTACTGCCATTGATAATCCTGAACTGCTTTCTGTTTCGATTGTTGATCTGATTCATGCTAACGAAGGAGCTGTTAAACCAGATAACCTTCCCTCCCTGCTCGCAGGTCAGTGGTGATGCCAATAGCTGACGAGTTCGCTCCGGACATCGTGCTCGTCTCCTCTGGCTTCGACGCCGTGGAGGGACACCCCCCACCGCTGGGCGGCTACACCCTGACTTCCAAATGTGAGCAAAAAAGATTATCTGAGATTATCTTTTTTTGTTTTTTATCTCACACACCAGCTGGACTATCAACACGACATACTGAGCGATTACTCACAGCTGCAGTAGAAATAAAACTAAGTCCAATCAGGCGTCTAAAAAGAATTTATGGGGTGAAAATAGAACAAAATGTTAAAGGAAACATAATTTATGAGTGAGGAATTTAACTAGCTGGTTGTGCACTCAGGTTTTGGGCATCTGACCAGGCAGTTGATGACCCTCGCTGGAGGCCGGGTCGTGCTGGCGTTGGAGGGAGGACACGACCTCACCGCTATCTGCGACGCCTCGGAGGCCTGCGTAGCCGCCCTGCTCGGCCAAGAGGTGAGACATTCACTCTGACCCAGATTTAGTTTTTAAAACCTGTCTGTCTTGATGGATGGAAAGGAAATCACAAACATTTCAGAAATAACTGCTGGGAGTCTGCTTTTCCTTTCCAGTGTGACCCTGTTGGGAACTGTAGGGTTGAATGAAGCACGCTACCAGCTCATGTTTACATTCTCTGTGTGTTTTTGTCGCATGCAGCTGGATCCCCTTCCAAAGGCCGTCCTGGAGCAGAGGCCCAACCCCAATGCTGTGTGCTCTCTGGAGAAAGTTATAGAGACTCATAGTGAGTTTGCCCTAAGCTGCATTAACACACAGATCTTCCCTGAATGAATAACAGGGAGGACTCAGACGGTTCTCTGCTGCTGAGATACACAGTTCCCACACTCTATAGAAAGTTACAAACAAGAGATATGAAATTTCTTGTTTGGATTTACAAGGTTCAGGTCAGAGATTGTGGAAAAATACTTGTGTCTTCAAATCCTATCCCTTTAATTATCCATCCATCCACTCTGTCTTTTGCAAATGTGATGTTTCCATATTTCTGACTGCCTATTTAAATCATAGATGTAATCAATAATCTTTTTTGTTTTTCTTCATCCGTCTCTCCTTCCCTTTTGAAGGTAAATACTGGCGCTCAGTGCATCGCTACTCATCGAGGCTGGGCCTTTCTCTACTGGAGGCCAAGCGAGGTGACTCGGAGGAGGCCGAGGCCGTCAGCGCCATGGCATCTCTGTCCGTTGCAAACAGCAACGCGATGGAGCAAAGGTAAAGTAGCCCAGATCACTTAAGAACTCTAGAGAAAACATTGCAGAAAAAAAAAAACTGAAATTATGTTTCATTTTTGCTTTGAAATTACATGATTGCATGATTATAGTCGTCCTGGTGGTATTTAATCAGTAGCATTTAATTTGACACCTACTTAAGGTTTTTTTTCAGCTAAACCTTTAATGCAGACATCCTCCTCTGCAATGATTGTGCAAAAGCTTTAAAATATCATGTTTTATTAATATAATGTTATCTTATACTCAAAAAAAGGGGGCTGAAATACACTCTTTAAATAAAATTTAATGAAATTTATCCAAAGGCAAAATAGTTTTTGATTTAAAAGATACAATTTCTTGCAGTTGTTTGCACTCTTAATATTTCCTATAAAAAGAAAATAGGACATTTTAATGATGGATTAAAACATCAGCCATATGTGACTAGTGCCAGATAGTAAAAATCAAGGAAATAATTTCTGGAAAACCTGTCTGACATTGTTAACTAGGCTACAAGATTTAAAAAAGTAAAACATTGCGTCTTTATCTAAAGAAATTCTAGAATTAATTGTAAGCTGATAAGGTTAACATTAGCATTTATTGGTTTTTTGGGTCTTATCTTGTCCAAGCATTGAAGAAGAGGCTGTAATTCTCCTAAAAAAAAATAATAATAATATATATGACTGATGATTGTTGTGCTAAAATGTTTTGTTGTGGCACATAAAGAACATGTCATCATCTGCATATAGGCGTGGCTAATGACTTAACCAGTGCTTTCTTGTCCAAGTACAGCAGTAGAAGATATAATTCTCCTAAAAAAATACGTTTGTTACGGGGAAAAATGTTTGCCTGTGTATAGAATTAAAGAAGAGTATGAGATCATCCGCATATAGGCGTAAGTGATGACTTAACCAGTGATATATGTATTATATATATGTATATATGCGTGTAAATATAAACTTTAGGACAACTAAAGCTTCCTCTGCCCGTGGTTATGTCATCAGTTACGCCTATATGCAGATGATCGTTTGTTCTTCATTAATTCTAGGCTAAAATGTGACGGATTATTGTCATCAGTAAAACATCTTACATGGCATATAAAGAACATGATCATCTGCATATAAGAGTAACTGATGACTTAACCGCCATTTTCTTGTCCAAATCAGGCAGATGAAGCTGTATCAGAAGGTTATGGGAAACATTTTTAGATCTTTGCCTGTATATAAGGTTAATGAGGAAGATGAGATCATCCGCATATAAGCGTAGCTGCTGATTTAACCACATTTGTTTTTCCTTTGCCAACAGGACAGAGGAGGAGCCCATGGAGGAGGAGGCTCCACTGTAACTGAGGCAGGCGTGAGGGTGTCGCAGTGTTGCCATTGACCTCTCCGGAGAAGAGCCTCAACTGACCCCTTCATTTAGTCCCCCCAACCTCCACTCACCACGTCAGTCACCTTGATTGGCGGCCCCTCGGTCTAAAAACGAGGGAGAGGGGACGGGCTTAGCCTCAGAGTAGGGAGCCAATCAGAAGACAGAGGACTGAACTTGGGGGTGAAAAAAAAATAACAAAACTTAACGACGTTGCTAAGCAGCAGTCGTTCGGAGACATTCATTGTTTTTTTTTTTCTGTCAGTCTTTGCACCTTCGCGTTAGCCCGCAGCAGCTGAGTGTGCGAACACAGCAGCCGGCAGGTCTGTATGCAGCCGGGAAAGGGTGGAATCTGGTCACAGAAAGGAAGATGCGCTGAAATAACCGGTGCTTGACGCTAAAGCCCCCTCTGACCGCATTCAGTGGAGACACCAGGGACAGTGGACATTCCCTGCTGCCCTAAAGCAGCTTGGGTACCTTTTCTCTTCTCTTAACTTCAGTTCCCTCTAAACGGGGAACGCCGCGGCATCCGGGTGGATTCTTTTTTTTATTTTTAAACGTGCCGCGCTCACTGTGGATTCCTGTGATGCCGTAGTTCAAGGAGGCTTTCGCAAAGATTTCAACGGCTAAGACTGGCGCCACGCTGGAGAGGCCTGCAGTCGAAAGCTGATGAGTAAGAGGAGTGCCTTGGAGAGGGTCCGCCTGTTTTCAGGATTGTTCAGGAAAAAGGTTGCCTTAACTTTAACCATTTTTCTCACAGAGGAATTGGAGGAAGCAGACGGGGGAAGAAGGGGAATGACAAAAAAATCTAACAATCTTTCAGCATGTTTACTTAGAAAGTAATGGAGACAGCGTTTATGTCTCTCATGGCTTCTCTTGAAGAGTTACTTTACTTTTTGATGGATCTATTTTTCTGTACAAAAGTTTTTAAAAAAAAAGATAGAGAAAGATCGGTTTGTAAAAGGTAGTTGCCAGCTTCTTTAGACAAAAGGTGCAAACACTGAGAAAGGAATCAGATCGCCAACTCTCAAAACAGTTTAGCCTTTGATGTAGCCTCCCTTTAAGACTCATCGCTTTTTGCAGATAAATCGCAGAGCATGCATCTAAGCAGATTTAACGAATGTTGTCCAAAAGAGAAAGCAGAGCAAAAAAAAAAAAACCAAAGCATGAGTTTGCATTTTTACAGTTTCACTCCTCTCGGCTGGAGGGGGGTGAGTCAACAAACACTTGATATATTTGGCCTTTAACCCTCTATGGTATGCATTATAAGGCCAGTAAGGAAAAAACTCTGCAGCTTTTTTGTCTCCAAATAGACAATAAACCATTTAAGGATATGTGACAAGTTCTTTTAAATCTCTTTTTAAGGATTTCTTAACCACATTGCCTCACAGTGGGACAGCCCATCACGGTAATTTGTGAAAACCAATCATAATTTAGTTTATTTAAGACAATTTTATTTATTAGAGCTTTCAACCATTACAAAGCAGAATGGGACCCCGGATAAAATAAATGTCAGAACATTTTAACCCTCTCAGGCTCAAATTAAGTTGTTGTTGCAGGAAAAATCTGATATTTGGAGAAAATGATCATATGGGGTAGTAATATACAATTCAGATTTTTTTTTTTTTTGAGAGAGACCTTCACATGCAATGAATTCTGGGATGTTGCAGATTTGCAACATTGGCCCGGAGTGGTAAATTAACACTGAAGACTGAATCTGATATGAACGTTAACTTTATTTGAATGTCACAAACAAAAAATCAACAAAACAAAATTCGAAAAAAAAACTTTTTTCTCAAACTTTTTTTCCACCGACATCTCAAAACCTCTTGAGAAGGCCGTTTCTGTTAAACTGTTGCTCAAAATATAGGCAAACTAATAGATAAAGCATGTAGCATCAATTGGTACCTGTCTGGGCACACGTTGCGAATTTACAACATTGAAATCGAGGTGCCTCTGGTGAAAAGCCCAGAGGAGATAAAATCTACTAATTGGCATGTGTCATATCTATACACATTCATGATTCATCTTATGTAGTATTGATTTCAAAATAATGGACATTGGTAGTGATACTTACATGAAATTAGTGCTTAGAAAATCTGTTTCAGTGACACCAAGAACTCAGCCATGTTGAAAGTGAGTTAGCAGTGCTATCTGGTGAGCTGGAGAGAAACTGTTTGTTGCAAATGCACAACTAAGTCCTTCTGTTGTACTTGTGAGTAACAAAAGCTCTTAAAATATGGATGTGGAGTAATTAGCTAAGTGGCATTTAGCTGTTGCAAATCTGCAACATCTGCCTGGAGAGGGTTAAAAGGCTGTTTATTACTACACGAAAACATGTATCTTAGTCTCCTTTATTGATTTGAAACGGACAAAGCTATGGACAACTCATAGATAAAGCTCCTGCTCCACCCCTTCTTATGCCGCCCTGAGCAACCGCCTATTTCAAAAGCCGCCACAGAGTTTTGGCGTTCTGATCGGCCAAAATGGTATCATAGAGGGTAAAAAAAAATACCCAGTTTGTTTACTGATTTAATCCCCCTCAGATCAGGTTAGCATTTCTTTACACATGCTAATCGAACGGTTGGCAACTACCTTAGTGCGAGCTTCACATCAGTCTTGTATATTTAATTGAATATATTTTGACAGTAATCCAAGTATTGTCAGTTTGAATCTACGTGTATGAGTTCCCACGTCGGGTCGTTCATTTACGGTATCAAACGTGTTTGGTTGAGCGTGTCCAGTTTTTATTTTGTATCGTACAAGATTATTTTTCTAACGTTCCGTTTTTCATTCATAGATTTGGTTCTGTGTTTTGTTTTTTTTTATCCATTTTTTTCTGGATAGATATAGGGCTGCATTCATGTACTTTTCTAGTGCTGTTGTCGTTTATTCTTTCTTGTATTTATGGAAAAACAAGGAGCAACACTTTCTTTCTTTCTTTCTTTCTACGGCTCCCGAAGCCTTTTCAGCATTTTCATCAACTATGTATTTATAACATGTACTGTTTATAGGAGATTTGTATATGGAAACTTTATAAATGTACTCTTACCTAATGACAGCTATGATATTGTGAGCAAAAAACAAGTACGGTGTATAAACAGCGTATTTAACTCGTCATTGACTGCACTGTTTTTCAAGCGGCCCTCCACCGTATCGCTGCATAACAACTGCAGTGGAATTCATCACTTTGTTGCCTGATTGGTTCATCCTCCTCCTGCGCACGGACGACCTTCGTTTTAACTTTCGACTGTGATCATGTTGTCCGTGAAGAGGTTTCGAGGCCGTTTTTACGTAGCTGGCTGAGCTACCTGCAGCGAAAAGCGGCCGTGAAGGACAAACCAACTTACTACAGTTTAAGCCAGATGTTTACATACACTGGATAAAAGGACTAAGCATCAATTTTTTCACTCTGACATTCATTCAGACATTTTTTTTTTCCTCTTTCAGTCAAATTAGGCGGACTAACATTTTTTTTATTTGCTAAATGCCAGAATTGTAGATTTATTTTTAAGAATTCAAAATACCAATATGTAAAGGGTTTGAGTTGGATGAAACATTCTGATTTTCCTCCTCCGGCTTTGGTTTTTTTCCTCAATCCTCCCATTAAAATGGGTGTAAAGGGGTCAGGTTTGTGACCGGAACTGAGTTAAGGGGCCTTGAGGTCACCTCTTTGTTACACTAACTTTATTTTCCACCATAATTTGGGTCCTTATCAATTTAGAAATCCTATTTTCTTTAAGCTTTGGCTCCTGTTTTATCATAACACTAGAGTCCCACCCCCATGCTTTACAGTTGGTTCAGCTTTGTTAAGCATCCAGTCTCCCCATTTTCATCAGATCACAAGACTAGTTTAAGTTTCTAGTCTTAAGAATTTAGTCTTAAGAATCTAAATTTTTATTTTCAGTATTTTCTATTTTTTCTTTATTATTTCTATTTGGGCATTAAAAAATATAAATATGATTAAATGCAGTTACTGCGAGATGTTTGGTGATATAAATCATAATTCGTTATGTAACATTTGTCCTGAAGAAGCTAAATTTAAATGTTTATATTCTTCAAGAGTATTACTCTTGATTGTGGGGCAATGATGGCACAGCCATATAGCTACCTTAGAAAGACTGCGAAGAGGTAATGTTTTTCTTAATTTCTAATCATCACTTTTATTGCCGTTACTTTATTATCAACCAAGATCGTTGGTTAAGATTTGAAGAACATATATCACCCAGCGCTACGAAAAAACATGTCTCCAAAGTTAGGCTCCTTTGTCTCTCAGCCCATTTGAAAACTCTTCTAAAAACCTTTTCATGTTGCTTCAGAAGTATTGGCTTCTTCCTTGCAGAGCGGCCTTTCAGGAAATGTCTTATTTTACCTTATAATAGTCCCCAAAGGTCATCCATCCAAGCAGTTTTTTTGAGGCTTGTCGTCAAATACATACAGTTGTACCTCCATTTAGCTCTATGTTATAATTTAACCTATCAGAAGTTTGTATATCTATGGACTCCGCTTTAAAGTAATCTTTTTTTTTTTTTTTGTGTTGGGGTATGCAAAAGTCTTAAAGAAAGTAAAACAAAAATATATATTTTTTTTGGCATTTAGCAAATAAAATACATTTCTTATTCTGTCTAGTTTATGCAAAACTGGTTTCAACTGTACATTAAAGACGCCCATCATATTTAAGTTGATATCATTTTATAAACCTGTAAGATCTGAAATTGAGTTATATTTTTGAACCTGAAAAAAACAAACATTCCACTTATTTTTTATTTGGCTTCTCAATGTAGAAACATGTTGGTTTCTTTATTCTTTTTCTTTTGTTTTTGCTGTTTGCTCGCACCAACTTTAACTCTTTGCATGGTTTGTGAGTCAGCATGCCTGCTTGTCTATGTAATGGAGAAAAAAAAAAGAAAATTGTATTTGCACAACAGAAGAAGAACGAACACTGGAGGACTTTCAAATGAAACCTCCCAGGAGTAGGCCGGGGAGGCTTTCTTAAACCTCCGCTGGTCAAATGATTTACAAAGACTTTGACGCTGAGAAATTTGATATTTTTAACACAATTCAGCACTTACGAACTGCGTTTTCTGGAGACGTGCTCTGCCAAACTTCTTCAATTTCACACCTTCAAGAAAGGACTCCCAAAGAATGTTCCTGTTTTCAAGTTTTTCTTTTTTTCCCCCTCCACAAATGAGAGATATTGTTTGGAAAGCAGTTTGAGAAAACAAAGGGCATCGTCATTTGATTGTCACACCCACCTCGGCCAGTTCTTTATATAGACATATATATATAAACCACTGTGGCTCAAGAGTAAATCTTGGTTTACATGTAAATTGATGGAAAGAAATGTTATTTTTTGTTTGTCTCTATTGATGAAAAATTTTCTCTTTCTTTGGGACCTACGCTTTAGACATTTCATCTCTGACATCATCTATAGAATATATTTCTGAAAATTATGAACGTCTCCTGTGTTTTTTCTTCTTTTTGTTCAGTGTTCAGTTGTTCAGGTACCAAAAAAATGTGTGGTTGGGCAACACTTAGTTATTTCATGAATGCTAAAACATTGGTAAAGAGGTGTCTGAGCAGAATCAATTTAAAGAGATACGCTACCATTATCTTGTTCCCCCTGTTTAGCCCAAAGTCCACTTCTGACTTTACTTGGGACGACTCCAGTAGATCCTTAAGTTTCTGATCTTTTTTTTTTTTTGCATCTGATAACATGGGGAAAAAGAAAAAAACAAACTTTCCTGCACATGACAGTAATGGAGCCTCAGCTTAAAAAAAAGCGACATTGGAGACTCAGAGAAATTTTTCTGAGTGGAAAATCTAATTACAAACCCCTGAATCACGAGTCTGCATGCAGGATTTAAGCAAAGAGCCATTGGTCAGGTGACATTCCCTCTGACATTTTACAGGGACACATTATATGGTCTTCAAAGATGATCTAAACTCTCAGAAAAAAAAAAATTATAACATTTTGCTTACTTTATGACAAAAAAAAAGTTGGTTTTACGAAAACTTACTATCACTTTTAAAGACCGTAGTTCCAAATTATTCTGACACAAAAGTTGAGTGTTTAAACAGTTTCAAAACAATTTCCAATTGCTTATCACACAGATTTCAGGAATATATGGTAAGCTATTTATTCACATAAACTCTTGTTTATTGACATTTCACATATCTCAGATAATAAGGTATGCTATCAAGCTTACTTTTGCAATGAAAACATGTCAACTTTGGTGTGTGAAGCTGCACAATCCTATCATTTTTTTTAAATAAACTAACTAAGTTACACGTGGCCAGGATAAGCACCTTTGTGGGTGCAGATAAATCATACTGGAGATTTTATCTGCATGTTTAATACATAAGATTACTAGCGTAATGTGGGAAAGGTAACTTTAGCTAAAATAATTCAATGATCCAAACAGGTCTAAATCAAATGTTAACAGAGTTATCAAACACTGAGGGCATGCTGGATTTGGAGGTATGGGTTGAAGGTACCTGGAATTTTTGTTATATATACAATTTTATCTTATATGTAAAACTAAACTTCATCCATAACCTAACCTGTTTTCTTTTTATTTGCAGTTATAACTACATACATTTCAGTTCTATTGAAGTCCTTTTTAAAATGTGCCCACTTTGTAAAGGTGCTTGTTTACGCAATGGCGTAACTATCAGTTAGCAGAGACTGCAGTTGCTTAGGGGCCCCATCACTGACACCTGGTTGGCCCCCTACGCAATTGTGGACTAGGATGTCTCTTTGCAGATGTAATGGGGCGAAAAATTCCTCTTATCCCACTGATACTAGATTGATTGACCAGACTGTATTTATACCGCAACACATGCCAGATTCCAATATGATGGTGAGCCGTTTAAAAACGACACCAACAGCAAAGCAGACAGTGGTACTTTTAATCACTATGTTAATAAATGTGTATAGTTCATTAGACGGTCGGTAAAAAATACACTCATATAATATTTTTCAAACCGCAATAAAGATCTTAAAATAACGACGTATTTCAGTATTTTATTTTTTAAAATACTTGGAATTATGGGTAATCCAGAGCGTAGATTAAAGCATAACCGCTACGTACAATGTGCTATGTTGGTGTGTTGTACTTCATATGGGGCCCACCCAGATAATTTTGCTTACGGGCCTATTGTTGTGGCGTTACGCCATTCTGTTTATGGTAATATGATGTAAAACTAGAAAAATGCTGAAAAAATTTTGACAGGGCCTGCCACTTGGGCGTAATATTTGTACTTGCAACAAAGGCATCATGTGGTTAGTTGGGTTCACCTTACATTGGTATATATCACCATACCAGGTGGCAAATTGCTTGTTCATGGCGACTGGCATCATGAAAGCGACTGGGGACTGGCTTCACAAATCCTGTTGACGACTAGCGTTGCCACACCCAGTTGGAGACTAAAGCAGCAACAGCTAGTGGCGACTGGAGTCTCCACAACTGCTGGTGACTGGCGTTGACAGACCTGGTTGCGGCTGGGGTAATGATAAATATCTCTATAGTGCAATATATTACTTAGTATATTTTACAGGCTTTTGTTTTGAAGAGGTAATGTCTTATTTTGAAGGTCTAGCAGGGCTTTGTCTTTAGGATATGGACAGCCTCTAGAGAGATATGGAATGCATTTACAATTGTTGAATCTCTTTTTCCTTCTAAATAGGTTAGCCTATGCTTCATTACAGAGGAAATTGATTAGCTTTATTTAGAAATGTGCACTCAGGCGTGTTGTCAACAGGCCTTGATAGTGTAACTTCAAGAGATTGTATGAGTTTGGGTTGTAACTATGACCATATGCTGCAATGAATTGCTGTGTATAAGCAAGAGGCTTTGTTTGCAGAGTCTATCATAGATGTGTGTCAAGGGAAGGGTCATGCCTAGCAGTGGTATATAATCCATTTCCAAATGTTAAATCACTGGTTTTCCCTGTTAATAGTTGAATAGATGCTTTATTAGGCTTTAAATGGGAGACTTTTAAAATAAAGCATTTAGATAAAGGATTTAAAATTTCAATTATTCAGTTCAATTCAGTTTATTTATATAGCGCCAATTCACAACACATGTCATCTCAAGGCACTTTACATTTCACCAGATCATGCAGTCAAATTGATTCAGAGTTTTCTATCTAAGAAAAAAAAAAACAGTTGATTGCATCGACTCATTGACCCGAGTGCAATCCCTTACACTAAGAATGCTTCTAGCGACAGCTGAGAGGAAAAACTCACTTTTAACAGGAATAAACCTCCAGCAGAACCAGGTTCAGTGTGAGCAGCCATCTGCCGAGGCCGACTGGGGTTCAAGGAGACAGAAGCAGAGATAGAAAAAGTAGCTGTAAAAGGCCGCCTAGTCCAGGAAACACACAGAGGATGAAGAGATGAAGAGAGCACAGCCAGCCAGTCATAGTCAGAGAAACAGGACTACACTGAAAAAACAGGCCGATCTCCAACATCTTTAAACAAGGGTGTTGATGGCAGCAGCACAGCTAAAATTTCTGTACAGGATGGTGTCACAGCCAAACAGAAACATTATGATTATATAATTATGACGATATACTATTTATGACAATACTTTAATAACAATAAACTAAACCACAAGACAATTTTCAGTATTTCAAGTGGAATTTCAAGTATTAAAAGAAAGGAAATTGACAAAATGACAATATAATTGCAAAGTTGGTTTATTATCTGATAAGAAAGGGTACTAACCTATAATAATAGGATATACAATTTAACTGAACCTGGATGGGCAACATTTTATCCAATTAAATATAGAAAGTGGTTTAGTTTGATTGTGTGCTACGATGGCTTGCCATACAGGGCATAGTAAACAATAACTTTGCGTGTATCAATGACTCTCCTAGCCGTCCAATCAGAAGCGGGCTCTTCCGTTCAGCATGCAAATACTGACCCCATATTTCCTCTCTGCCTACTGTCCCCAGTGCTGCAACTGTGCCATGCTCAAGCTGCAACATTAGCACTCTCTTTTTTTTTCCTCCCCCTTTTCTTCACCCTGTGGGGAGACCCCTTATATCTTCCGCGATCTTCTTCTTCAGTTTGTTTTTAACCCATCTGCTCCGTGGTCCTTTTGTTTCTTTTTTTTTTTTTAACATGCCTAACATCGTGCTTTTCAGCGGGAGCTCCCATCATGACCTGTCCCAAAAAGTGGCTGATCGGCTCGGGCTGGAGCTGGGGAAGGTGATCACCAAGAAGTTTAGCAACCAGGAGACATGGCGAGTACATCGCTCATTTAAACGTTTCGCTTTTGTTTTTATTCTTTTCTGCATGTTTTAAAACAAAACAAACAAAGCGAGCTATTGGTCTCATATGGTGCTCCATCATCGTTATCACGTGTGTAGCTTAGCTTTAAGCTAACATATAGCTTGATGTAAACACAGCAGGCTAACCGTGATGTTCCTTTTATCGGACAACGGTCAGTTTTTATATATTTTTATAATGGCTTCTGGTTTAAATGAACCAAAATGGCAGACTTCAAATCATGTCTTTAGATTTCGCTACGTCGCTACATGCTGTTTTAAGAATTAGTGTCTTATTTTACAGTCCTGCTAAACTGATCAGTGTCGGCTAAGAAGCTAACATTTATAACTTATGACAACATTGTTAGGTGTTCTTCTATTTTGCCTGTCTGAAAAAAAAACATATATTTAATGTTTTGCTATTAAGGAACTAAAAGTAGGACATAAAAATACACGAGTCGTTTGCAAAAGATGTGTACGTGTGCTAGCATTAGTAAAATATTAATCTCCACCAATGAATACTTTAATGTATCACTAAGTTAGTATTTGAAACATCCAAATAGATTCATGCATTTTTAAATAGATGTATTTTTTGTTTATTTATATATATATTTATATAAAATAAAATTAATTAAATAATTATAAACTCGCAAAAAAACAATTAAATCCAATTATTAATTTATAATTGTAAAGTTAGGTATGGAGATTTACATTAATCGTTCACTCTAATTTGGATTTGGGTTTTAAAAAAAGCATAAAAATTAGGTTTTGATTTTATTTATTATATAGTTCTGTTATGTTGGTGGCTGTACATTAAAGAAATGCTTTACTGGAAAAACAAAAAAAGTTTTTTAATGCAATAAAATGAATGTCAAATAGATGTATATAATTATGCACTTGATTCAGTTACACTTTCATATGATATTAAATATGAAAAATATTTCAATTCAATTAGTATGCTTTATTTAATAAGGAAAATTCTATCAGCCCTTTTAGTATGAAGGGGCACAAGTATTCAACTTTAAAGTATGAAGGATTTGAAATAAATGTAATATTTTTCACAAAAATAAAATTGCATGCATAATTGTCTTTTTTGCATCCATTACATGATCTGATGCATTTATCTGTGATCTCAAAAATGTTTTTAACGATTTATTTAAATAGATTTGACTGCATTCAAATGTAGTCCAGTACCGTTAGAAGCAGCAGACTTTGAAGAAACAAGCAGCAGAGCACGGTTTAAAAGGAGGCTGACTTGCAGAGCTCCCCGTAGTAACGTGATTAAAGCCAGTAGTGTTATCTCACATTCTGTCTGTCAGTGAGGTTAATTACTTTAACTCTGCCCTGGGCTGAATCACATGCACACAATTTCTCATTTCTAAACTTTCCGGCCTCTGCAGACTTTCACTACTTACTGCCTGACTTCAAGCCAACCTATTTCCGCTCATGTTTGTTGCTTGAACCTGCCTGCTGGGCATAGTGACCTATTTGGGCCCGTAGAAGCTTCATCATGGCGGTGTTTTTCCACTTCTTTTTTTTTTTTTTTTTTTTAGATTACTGATTGATGAGTTAAAATGCTTGCCGTGTACCGGACTGCATGTTTTGTTTTATAATAAACTTTGAAGGAAAACAAATGCTGTATTAATCATGCAAGAATGGCCTAGTCAAAGTCCACACTTGAATCCAATTAGGAATCTATCTAAATCAGTGTTTCCAGCAGCATGCTGGAATTTGTTCTGGTCTATCATGCATCACATCATGCGCTTCACTGTTTTATAATCTCTCTCGTCAAAAAAGGTCAGAGGTCTTAATGATGCCTGGACCTCTTTATCCACCTCTTTTTTGTGTGTTTTAGCTCCTAATGTTTCCACAAACAACTCCAAAAATCCAGGGAAGGAAAAAAAAAAAACGTAGATTATCCAGGGCGCGTTTTCTCTCTAGGGAACTGATCTGTTTGTTTGACACAAAGTGCAAAAACAAAGATTATGCTCTGATCTTCTCACAGTGAGAGGGGAGGTAAAGCGGGGCGCCGCTATGCATTCTGCAGCCCTGCAATGCAGCTGGAGCTCCGGTTTTACCAGATGACCATGTAGGTCAAGGACCAAAGCGGAGGGAGGGAGTTCCTCGGAAGGAGTCCTCCCAATATTACTCAGTGTTTGCTTTTCACAGTTGGAATTTGAACGAAAGCTTTTTTGGTTGTTTTACATTCAAAAGAGCTGGAAAAATAAGGAAACAAAGGGCTCACATGTCAGAGATTACTGTTTGCTCACCTACTGTTCCATCATCACTATTTTTATAAATGTCTGTCATCGTATCTTAATCTTTTTGCAAACAGGATCTTTTTTTGAGGATTATTCAGACATCTTTTTTTTTCGGTGCATCTCAATCATGTGACTGAGGAGCTGGTTATCCCCCTCCCTCCATGCACATGAATTTGTCACACGCATGCATGCTGCACTGAAACTAACCTTTCCCGACTGTGTAAAAACTGCAAAAAAATAGATGCTGCTTTTTATTTTCATTCTTCAAACGACCCCATCATGCCGTTAAAAAGGACTTTACTTTCATTATTGGCTTGAAAAGTGAGTGTTTAGCAGTAGATGATAAAGTTAGAGCTACATGATGTTAGAAAATCTATCAGCAGTCATGACCGTGCAGGTTCACAACACTTTAAATATAGTAGCCAATCATTTCCCCCCCTCTTTAGATGATGATGCATTGTGCTACATTAGTTGGATCAAATCTGAATCTTAAACACAGAGTAATCTTTATTGTTTTTCTTTTTCTTAATGTTGGGGCTATGCTTTCCAGCACGCTGTAGATGGAGACACAATTGATTGTACATGAAATGTGTGGCATACATTTGTGAGCCTCCTCTATTCCGATGCCCCCTGAATTTAACCTTTTAACGGTGTCTATCCAACTTTGTGAGAGCTGGATTTAGCCGAGTTTGTCTCATGATATGGAGGACCAGGAGGGTCAGTGAAAAAAGGAAAAACAGCCATTTCAAATGCAGACATCCCAAGTTCCAAAAACTAATTCAGGGAGATGCTTATCGAACCCACCAACCTGTCATTGTGACTGCGTAATCGAAGTAGTTCTAATCTGCACATGATGCACAGATTATTGTACTGCCTGCACGCTCTGACTTGCATTAAACACCACCTCACATAGTCTAAAATCGGGGATAATTTATCTGACTCGAGGGCATCTGTGAACAACTATCCATATCAGGCATATGTAACATTTAAATCATAGAATTAGAAGTCCAATTTGAAAAGTGTTTTCTAATTGCACATTTTAAATTAAATTTTTAAAGAGGAATTATAAATGTTATTTATTAATCCCTTATTAAATACTGCAATTTAATATATTATTATATTTTCAAACCCTATTTCTATATAAAATAAAAAAACACAGTTTATAAATGTTATAATAAACGGCCACCCAAATCACACATTTAGAAAGGTAACTTTCTTTTTATTTTAACCTCTCCATTTACACTAAAGGCTAGCTAAATCAATGAAGTTGCTCCTCAGATGTAACCAGCTCTCTCATTAGTCAAACTGCCTATTCGTGTTTACCTGATGACCAATGAGAGAGCTGGTTACCTCTGTGAAGCAACTGTGATTGGTTTAGCTGGTTTTCAGCGAGCTCAGGAACCAGAAGGGTAGGAGAGAACAGTAAAAAAACATGGAGTTACCCTTTTTAAACATGTGATTAAGGAAGGTATTAATAATCAAATTTATGAATTATTTTTTTTTTTATCTCCACGTTAGAGACTGACATTTTTTCGGGAACCCCATGGGTCACGGGATTCCCGTGGGATGGGAGTCAGTATTAGTAACGATCACGGGATTGGGACGGTACAGGATTAAACATTAACAGGAGCAGACGGGAGCGGGAGCAAACCAATAGTAACTTCCGCTCTGAGTTTTTCACCCGCGCTCAAAAACAACAAGAATGGGAGTGGTGCAGGAGCGGGAGTCATTCTGAATGGGAGCGGGATGGGAGTGGGAGTAATTTCACCAGGAGTGGGACGGGACAGGATTTAGATTTCTACTCTGGCCCGGGATCGGGACGGGACACCATTTTTTTCTGTGGGAGTGGGACGGGACAGGAGTGAAAATCCACTCCCGTGTCAGTCTCTACTCCACGTAGAACTAGGGTTTAAAAATTATTGTTTAAATTGCAGTATTTCATAAAAAAATGTACAGTTAGGAATTACTTTTCATATTTTATTCCTGATTGTATGATTTACCATATTTCCTAGACTATAGAGCACACGATACTATATGTTGCGACCCCTAAATTTTTTGAAAAAACTGTTAACGGACATATTAAGCCGCACCTGGCTATAAGCCGCTGATATCTACTTAACTGTCTTCAACCAAACCTGTAGGGGGAGCTCTACATCCTGGAGCAGGGATGGAGAAGAATGCTAGCTCCCATTAGCTTGTTGGTTTGCAGCAGTACGAGCTTCTAATCAAAGATGTGGCTTCATCAGCTCTTTATTTCAGCTCTGCTGGAGTTGAGCCCAGTCTCTTCATTAGTTTAGCAGCTTTAATGCGGCAAATGAATGTCAAAATGTGTGAATTTGGGACATTTGTTCTCCGCTGTGACTGCTGCTAGCATGTTCTTGTGCTAGATGAAAATTAGCCCTTTATTTTTTCATTTCCAACTTTGACTTCCCCCCTCTTGCGGTTAGCAAAAAATGTAAAGAAAAGCCACACCTTCTTATAAGCCGCATGGTTCAAATCGTGGCAAAAAAGTGGCGACTTATAGTCTGGAAAATATGGTAAATGTTAAATTTGAAATGGCCAATTTTGGGTAGTGTTGCACCGACACCAGTATCGGACGGGGCCCCGATACGGCACTAAAATTGTGGTATCAGTATCGGCGAGTAGTAACAAATAGGGCACCGATACAATTTGAGAGTCAAAAGTTTTTACAACTATTGCCCCCCATTCCAGGTAGGCAATAAAAAGTTCTACTGGATTCACTTTGTATTTGTATTTTTCCTGCTTCACAAAGGTAGGCAGCAGCTTGACAAAACCATGATGGCAATTATTTATCCGGAGCCGAAAAATGGCATTGGTGCAACACTAATTTTGGGGTTGTTGTTTGTTTTGTTTTTCTGTGACTCTCCTGGTCTTCCATATCCTGGTGGGCTCGTTGTTAACACTCTATCCTTACTAGAGGTTTTTCTCTGTGGATTTAAATGTTCTCTATACCTGCATGTATTTTTTTCTGGATACTCTGGTCTCCTTCCGTGGTGCAAAATGATCCTCGGTTAGATGGTTTCTCCAAACTGCAGGTGAAAGGGAAGCCCCTCCTTCTTAAATTGGAGATTAATGGAATTAATCCACGACAACCTCTGAAGAAAATAATGGGATCTTGCAGCAGGACAACCTTAAACATTAAACTGCAGTTAAACAGTTGCAGTTTAGACTGTTTTGTATTGATTTGGGGGGGGAAATATGTTCAAAGTCCTGATCAAAACCAAGAGCAGAAGTTTTGAGGTTATGCTTTGTGTATTTTACTTCACTTCATCATCTTATGGAGTATTTTGTCTCCTATTCCTCAACAGTGTGGAGATCGGGGAGAGCGTGCGCGGCGAGGACGTGTACATCATACAGAGCGGCTGCGGCGAAATCAACGACAATCTAATGGAGCTGTTGATCATGATAAACGCCTGCAAGATAGCCTCCTCGTCCCGCGTAACAGCCGTCATCCCTTGCTTCCCGTACGCCCGGCAGGACAAGAAAGACAAGGTGTGGAGAGGAATAGCATGTCACAACAGCTCCCGATCCAAGAGGGCTGAGTCATTTCCCTCCAGCTCTGCTGGTTGTTTTAAAAAAAAGGGGGAAAAAAGCTGCATATGCATGAAGCTAAAGATGGAGACATGCTGCATTGTGGCGTCAGTCTATCGTTTTACCAATGGGAAGAAGAAAAAAGGGATTTTATGCAAACACTTATTTTTTTTATTTTGATTTTTTTCAACTGCTTGCCTCCTGATATTCATGTTTTCTGATTCATCTCAGAGTCGAGCACCGATTTCTGCCAAACTGGTTGCTAACATGCTGTCCGTGGCGGGCGCTGATCACATCATCACCATGGACCTCCACGCCTCGCAGATCCAGGTCTGGTAGCCATAGCTAGCAGCTTTAACTGTGAACTTTATTCACTGGGTTAAAAAAATAAAAAAGACTTCAACTTCTCTTTTAATATTTAGGAAGAACACAGTGTTTAATGTCTTGATTTATTCAGCTCTAAACTCCAGATTTTTAGAAGGATGTCTGGGAACGGAGAAGCGTTTTTATGATTTCTAACTATTTTTGACTATTTTAAATAATCAAAACCCAATCATAATCAAATGTTTAATGTTTTGATTTATTCAGCTCTAAACTCCAGATTTTTAGAAGGATGTCTGGGAACGGAGAAGCATTTTTATGATTTCTAACTATTTTTGACTATTTTAAATAATCAAAACCCAATCATAATCAAATTTTAGTTCTCCTCTAGCCAACAGCATTATATATTCTCTACCATAAGTTTTCCATAAATATATGATGTGTCATTATCGAATGAAAAAAAACGATTAAATGCACTTTATTTTAAGGATTATCGAAATTTAATGCTTATAGCTGCGTGTCACAAATAAAACAACAATAGTGATATTAGTGAGTCAGTTGATTGTTAATTTTTTTTTTTTTTTGAATTAACAACTAACTGACCCAATTAGTTTCTTGGCTATTTTCACTACTGCTTCCTCTATAGCTCGTTAGAAAATATGGGCAGACGCTTATTTGAGGGTGTATCTATAAACAATTAATTTAAAAAATACGGAAGCCCATTAGTGACAAAATCTGACATACATTTAGCTTGAATAAACTTTTGTTTTCAAAATAATTTAACTTTTAAGTTAACTAATGTTACTAAGGCAACAGCAGGGCATGATTGGATGAATAATTGAATATTATACATTAGTTTAATTTCTTATGCATTAACGTAAGAGGATTATATCAAAGGATTTTAACTGACAGCAGTCAGACTTCAACCAATCACCTTATCTATATTGATGCTAGCCCCGCCCACCAACCTTAATAGCTTAAGTTGACATATAAAATTAAATCCTGTGCAGCTGCATGAGGCTAATTATGAAGTAAATAGATACAAAATCATTTAAAGGGCTTTAATGATTTTTTTTGTCAAGCAATTAATCTGTTGTTTTTTTGTTTTTTTAATTAGATTGATCAGATAGCAAAAGGTTCCTTAAAGAAGATAATTGGCACTATTTAAAGCAGGTGAAACTAAAACTGTTGTCAGCTGTAGGCAAGTTTAAAGTCTATACCCCAGTTGTGAATAACCAATTACTAAATTGTTTACTTTTTTTTTCAGTAATCGATTAATTAACCGTTTCAGCCCTAATTAATTATCCTTTTAATGTGTAATGCAGACATTTTGGTTTATGCAGAACTGTCCCTTAATGTTGAAAGTCGTAGTAAAGATGAAGATCTTCCACCTTGAAGTTTCATTGCTCATATTTGTCTGGCTGTCGTGGTTAAACATCCATTCAGGTTGTAGATGGCATTTTCTAGTCATTATCTGCTATATTATGTTCTCATGTGCTTCCTGTTTTGAAGAGCTGCTAAATTACCTTTAAAAGTTGCTTTATTTTGAATTAAATCATCTCTGTTGATGATCAAGATGTTAAATGTAGATTTTTTATTAGACCAGATTGAGAAACATTTGCTTTAGGGGGATTCCCATAAGGCTGAACTTGTCTCTTTTTCTTTTTTTGAAATTTGAATCCATTCTGCAGGGATTTTTTGACATTGCGGTGGATAACCTGTACGCTGAGCCGGCCGTCCTGCAGTGGGTTAAAGAAAACATTCCTGAATGGAAGGACTGCATCATCGTGTCTCCAGATGCTGGCGGAGCCAAGCGGTAAGAGGAGTCGATAAGATACACGGGGTCAAAGGGCAGCTGTATGTTAGATAAACTGGAGACGGCGTTCTACTGGCAGCTCAATCGCAGCTGATGCAATTAAAAACCTCTCTGCACGTCTGTCTGGTGTTTGTTTGTTTGTCGCCACAGCGTGACATCCATCGCCGACCGCCTGAACGTGGACTTTGCCCTCATCCACAAAGAGAGGAAGAAGGCCAACGAAGTAGACCGCATGGTTCTGGTCGGGGACGTCAAGGACCGAGTGGCCATCATGGTGGATGACATGGCCGACACCTGCGGCACCATCTGCCACGCCGCCGACAAGTTGGCTCCCTTTTTTTAAAAAATCATTAGCCCCAGATTTAAACGCCTCTTAAAAAGCTGACCGCTCCGTGTTTGTATCCGTACCGTCAGGCTGATCGACGCCGGCGCCACCAAGGTCTATGCCATCCTCACACATGGTATATTCTCGGGCCCGGCCATCTCTCGCATCAACAGCGCCCCATTCGAGGCCGTGGTGGTGACCAACACCATCCCACAGGAGGAGAAGATGAAGGCGTGCCCAAAAATTCAGGTATATGTCTTGGAGAGTTATTCTGCAAGCTTCCTGAGCATGGAAGGGGGGGGTGTCAATAACTTCATGCTTTGATTCACTGTTTAGTGCTGAAAAATGACAGAGAACATGAAGATTATTTATTTTACTGCTGGATTTTATTTTTATTTTTGAAAAATATAGCCGGACAAATCTTTTCTTCTTCTTTTCGGGCCCCCCTAAGTCAAGGGCCCTTAGAATCTAAAACGGCGCCCCTGTCCCTAATTATTAAGGAAAGCAATAAGTTCAAACGGGGCACCATGTCTTTGGCTATGTGGGGGAAACGTCACTACTGTGCTGCGCTATATGCAGCCAAGCTTCTGTTAGCATCTATCTTGTTAGCTATCTGGACCGGGAACCTTACAGCCCCATTTCTTCTAATACAACTGCATCTAAACAAACTCGACAGGAACCATGCGTGTTGCTAATTTTCGCTGCCATTTCTGCCATCTTGGCTGCAGCTCGTTAATTTAGCTGCAGCCTCCTACTAAACTTGTATTTGGGTAGAAATGCATTCTGGTAAGTGCCAAAGGACACTTCATCATAGCAGTCAGCGACATTGATGGTGTTGCTATGAAACTCTCAATGACAACCGCAGTTGCTTTCTTTCCTTTTTTGAGAACAAATTTCTTACTCATCTGTAGTTATGATATTAATAAATGAACTTTATTGATCTCAAACTGGAGAAATTAACTCTCTGCATTTAACCCCATCCCCTTGAGGAGCAGTGTGGGGTTTAGGGTCTTGCTCAGGAACCCATAGTGGCAGTCTGTGGGAGTGGGGCTTGAACTCAGAACCTCTGGGGGCCAAGTACAATGCCTTTACCTCTAGGCGGCCAGTCCCCAATTCCCTAATCCCCATTACGATGTTTGCTGTTTCGTGTGATGCTGTTGCTTGCCAAATTGCAACCTGAGAGTAATACCGCAGCTACAGATACTCCGGGAAGGTAAAAAAAGGGCCGTTATTAAAAAAAAAATCCCATTGATTTATAATTTTTTTAATTGCCTGCAACAAAAAAATCGAATTAATTAATTGAATTGATTTCTTTGCCCAGGCCTATTCTGTAGTGATAATTAAAGGTATAGTGGAAGATGTTCTTTTTCCAGGCGGATCATCTAAATAAGCGGTCCTCCTAATTGTCAATCAGTCTGGTGATATGTTTGCATAAGGCAGTCCTACGTGGTCGTCCCCATTTTAACTTACTGGTGGCGAGTCTGACATAGTGGAAAAATTGCAAATCTTCTTTTGGAAAGTAAGCTTGTTTGAGTGATGCAAGCAACAACTTGTAAACAGAGCGTGCACAAGGAGAAATGGGCTTGTGCATGCTCTCACATGTGTTTAATAGGTGTCCTCTCTCCGGAGCGGATACAGGGTTGTGCATGTGAATTTTTTTTTTTTAAGTTTGAGAAAGAATTTGAGAAAATCCTCCACTTTACCTTTAAATTAAAGTGTTCTTTGAAAAAAATACTAAAGTTTGTAAGAATTGCATTTGTTAATATACATGCATTAGCCACTAATAAAAGCTATTGTTGAAGATCTAAAGAGCCGCTGGTTGTAGAACCCTGTATTAACCTATTAGAAGCTCACAAAGCTGTGACATCATCATCTATGTTTGCAGAGGGGATCTAAAGTCATTTGTAGTCTGTTTTTATGTGAATCCGGCTGACAATGAATGAGTTTTAATGCAGGTTAGATAAAGATCCGGGTTTAGATTTATGACCAAAGATGTTTTTGTTTCAAAATCAAAAGCAGCAGCTGGAGATTTTTAGATTTCGTTGTTTTATTTACGGAAAATGAAAGAAACTGAATCGTTTACTTAAAATTCAGCCAGTAATTGATTTTTGAGTAGCCTGTAAAGGATCAAGCTCAGCTCAGTTTGTTGTTTCCAACCAGGTCATCGACATCTCCATGATCCTGGCTGAAGCGATCAGGAGGACCCACAACGGTGAATCGGTTTCATACCTCTTCAGCCACGTCCCACTGTGAGGAAGAACCACCCCGATCCTCTGTATGTCCTCCCAACGAGGCCACACGCCCGGCACTTTCCTGGCCTCTCACGTCCTGCGGCGAAGCCTCCAATCGGCCTTGCTCCAGTGGCTCCTCAAAGGTCGCACCCTCCGTCAGTGACATTTTCCACTCAGCAGACAAAACCAAGTTTTTATTTATGAGCTCAATTCCTTTTCTTGTCAGTTTTCTCTTTCGGCCTCTGATTCTTCTTGATAACCAAGCGGGACGTCATGACTTCATTTTACCTCTTTTTTTTTTCTTTTTTTTTTCAGTTTTAGATGCATTCCTCTCTGGCATGCAAAGATTTAAAGTGTTTGAATAAAAGTGTAGCCTGCACCCAAAGTATTTACATTATGGTACCCTCTAACTCAGTCTAACTCCGTCACAGGAATCCATATTTTCTTCTCGCTGAGCCACGACAAGTATAAGCTGCTGTCATGACTTCCCTCTGATCTAATCCTTCTAATTGTACTAAAATCATTTCTAAAACTAACGCAAGATGTCGTAGGTGTATTGCCTACCCTTAAAAAAAAGGTCATTAAATATAATGAAGCCCAAAGCTTTACTTTTTTTGTTTTTATTTTCTTTTTTTAAATAGTGTTAAGAATCCGGGCCTGATTTGTTCCCAGCGGTAATGGAGTCACTTCTGTTCAGTGAAGGCAGTGTGGCGCAGTGTGCCTGAAAGTGGCTCAAAAGGTGATTAAAAAAATAAATGTGATGATTTTTTTTTTTTTTTACGTATCACAGTAAAAGCTTTTCTTTTAATAATAAAGCTCTGAAAATGTAAAACTGATCCTGAATGAGTCTGTTTTTCTCTTTTTATATATATATATATATAATAAAAGGAGTGATATATATAGATATATATCTATAAATATCTATATAGTGGAGGATTCGTGCATTTTTGAAAAGGCCATCCCTCCCAAAAAAAGCACATTCACAACCCTGTACCTGCTCCTGAGAGGGAACGCCCATCAAACACATGCAAGAGCATGCACGAGGAGAAATGGGCTCGTGCACGCTCTGTCTAAAAGTTGCTGTTTCATCGCTCATACAAGCTTACTTTCCAAAAGAAGATTTTGCCATTTTTCCACTATGTCAGACTCTCAAAAGGTAAGTGAAAATGGAGACAAGCACATAGGAAGGCCTTACATAAACATCAACCGGAATAATTGACGATTAGGAGGACCTATTGTTTTTATTATCCATCTAGAAAAAAAAGTCAAATGCAACAGGATTTTATGTGTATTAGAATAATTTGCACCTGTGTGGAAAAGTCTTTAGATACAACTGGAATCAACTTTTATGGTAATTTTGTATACACAGTGCATGCAACACGAAATTTCATTTTGTACAGCTTTAATGGTAAATGGCCTGTACTTGTATAGCTCTTTTTCAAATCAGGAGACTTTACCAAAGAGCTATACACTACATTCACACTCACACACTGATGGTGGCAAGCTACATTGTAGCCACAGCTGCCCTGGGGCTCACTGACAGAAGCGAGGCTGTCGTACACTGGTGCCACCATCAGTGGATAATGCAGGTGAAGTGTCTTGCTCAAGGACACAACGACACTGAAAGTCAGCGTTTAAACCGTCAATCCTTCGATTTCAGGGCAAACTACATCCGACGCCACTGTTGCTTACATGACATTTTCATTTCTTAAAGTGCAGCAGTGATAAAATGTAAACAGTGTGGGAGAGAAAAGCATGGCATGAGAAAAACAGTTCATTGCCACCGGTGCAGAGCTTGCCTACATTGTAAGTGGATAAAAGGATCTTACAAGTAAAGGCAGTTAAAAACACAATTTAAAAGAAGAATAAGAAGCAAATATGGTTTCTGCATTCACATGCTGACAGGTTCAACAACATGGTCAAACAACATAAAGTGAAGAATAATGCGATGCACGTTATCCCTCATGTAGACACGATACATATGCTCACAGCATATAGACACAACATATTAATCTGACATATAGACGTCCATTACATAAGCACAATAGATGGACACACCAGAAGACACATAAACATTTTTGGCACTAACGGAACCCCATACTGCATACATTTTTCTGTAACTGCACATACTCCACACACGCAAGCGAATACTGTTTATTTGCATAGTGGGTGAGTTTTCATGAACTGTTACGTCTTTATTTGGAGCTTAAGATTTTTCTTTCTTACATCTTTCCTACTAGTCAATAAGTCAGAAATGCTCTGTTAATGTCTTTATCCAACTTAAAGTATTTGCCTCCACACATTTGCAGCGCTTTCAGGGTTGGCATTTTTTAAATATTACAACAGGTAATCAGATTGGTGCACCTTAGTGGGAGGAAGATGGAGATGATGAATTAGAAAGCCTTTAGTTTGGGAGCCTGGGAAGCTTGGAGGTCATTTCTAGCACTGTGAGAAAACAATATATTTGTATTTTAGCAGAACTGAAATTGCACTTTTTTATATTCCATTTTATTGGTTCTGTGTTGTTGAACCATGCTCACCAACAGGTTCCTTTATTTATAGTTCTTATAAACTACTACTTTATACTTCTCCTTTCTCACAGATGAGGTCAAACTTTTCATATTTTAAAACTAGTACTTCTCAAAGTGCAGTTCCTCAATAAGTGTCTTGCTATCAGGAACATAAATGTTCTGGGTATAGTTTTATAAAAGCTGTTTCTTCTTTTTTTTTCAGTCAAAGGCTGATTTATAGCAATTCATCTACAAATGAAAGATAATTTCCATCTGACCTGAGCTGGGTTTCAACCCAAAACAGCTTCCAAGATTGGTCAAACTGAACCAGACAAACCCAACTAACGGCTGATTGGCCACAGTTGGAGGCTTAAGTTTTAATACAAACGTTATCATATATATATGTATGTATAAGCTTTGTATATATACATATACTGTACATACATTTAAATATCAATTCCGCTGTCACAGCCTCTGTATTTTTTAAATGTTTTTTTATTTTGTTTCTGACATTGTGTTTTTTATGCTTTTTGTACGGCGACCTTACGTGTCCAGAAAGGCGCCTTTTTAAATAAAATGTATTATTATTTTTATTATTATATATGTATGTGTATATATATATATATATATATATATATATATATATATATATATATATATATATACACTCACCGGCCACTTTATTAGGTACCCCATGCTAGTAACGGGTTGGACCCCCTTTTGCCTTCAGAACTGCCTCAATTCTTGGTGGCATAGATTCAACAAGGTGCTGGAAGCATTCCTCAGGGAGTTTGGTCCATATTGACATGATGGCATCACACAGTTGCCGCAGATTTGTCGGCTGCACATCCATGATGCGAATCTCCCGTTCCACCACATCCCAAAGATGCTCTATTAAATTGAGATCTGGTGACTGTGGAGGCCATTTGAGTACAGTGAACTCATTGTCATGTTCAAGAAACCAGTCTGAGATGATTCCAGCTTTATGACATGGCGCATTATCCTGCTGAAAGTAGCCATCAGAAGTTGGGTACATTGTGGTCATAAAGGGATGGACATGGTCAGCAACAATACTCAGGTAGGCTGTGGTGTTGCAACGATGCTCAATTGGTACCAAGGGGCCCAAAGAGTACCAAGAAAATATTCATCACACCATGACACCACCACCACCAGCCTGAACCGTTGACACAAGGCAGGATGGATCCATGCTTTCATGTTGTAGACGCCAAATTCTGACTCTACCATCCGAATGTCGCAGCAGAAATCGAGACTCATCAGACCAGGCAACGTTTTTCCAATCTTCTATTGTCCAATTTCGATGAGCTTGTGCAAATTGTAGCCTCAGTTTCCTGTTCTTAGCTGAAAGGAGTGGCACCTGGTGTGGTCTTCTGCTGCTGTAGCCCATCTGCCTCAAAGTTCGACGTACTGTGCGTTCAGAGATGCTCTTCTGCCCACCTTGGTTGTAACGGATGGTTATTTGAGTCACTGTTGCCCTTCTATCAGCTCGAACCAGTCTGGCCATTCTCCTCTGACCTCTGGCATCAACAAGGCATTTCCGCCCACAGAACTGCCGCTCACTGGATGTTTTTTCTTTTTCGGACCATTCTCTGTAAACCCTAGAGATGGTTGTGCGTGAAAATCCCAGTAGATCAGCAGTTTCTGAAATACTCAGACCAGCCCTTCTGGCACCAACAAATATGCCACGTTCAAAGTCACTCAAATCACCTTTCTTCCCCATACTGATGCTCGGTTTGAACTGCAGGAGATTGTCTTGACCATGTCTACATGCCTAAATGCACTGAGTTGCCGCCATGTGATTGGCTGCTTAGAAATTAAGTGTTAACGAGCAGCTGGACAGGTGTACCTAATAAAGTGGCCGGTGAGTATATATATATATATATATATATATATATATATATATATATATATATATATATATATATATATATATATATATATATATATATATATATATATATATATATATATATATATATATATTTAATAAACCTGACATGATTGGGGCCGGTCACGTTCTCAAATAGTTTGAAACTAGTCTTTAAAAAGGAAATTAACAAGTTTGATGAATTGCCATTCAGCACCAAATTACTCGTGTTGTACGTCAAATCGCCACCAGGTGGCGCCCGGGCTTCATGAATTTGCAAGAAGAAGAGCCAAGCATGAAGAGCGTATTTTATGCACTTATTTTTTAACGCACACAAGGCATCTCAGTTTAACTGATACCGTACAGTCTCTGTTTCGTACGAAGCAATGTTGATCTAATTTCGAATACAAATTAAAATCCCCACTGTTGATTCTTTTAACTATTTGCTTCACGACTGTGTTGGGAGGTAATTTTCCATTTTTCTCCAGTAGATGGCGACAGTGTGCGGATAAAAAAGGAGGGGAAACTGGTGACGTCAGGGGTAATTAGCATATTTCTGACTATATGAAAGGCTTGCGCAAAAGCTCAAGCATTACTGCTGCATCCCACTGAGCAGACAACTCTCATCAGTAAGCCAGCGCTTCGGTAAGCCCCTCTTCTCTTTTCAGGGATTTTTATTCTTTTATATTTTATGTGTTTTTGGCAGCTCTCTGGGAATCATTGAGGTTAAGATTGAATTAAGGTGCAGAAAGGATTTTTCTTTTCTTTTTGGGGGGCGGGGGGCACGGCAGGGTGCAATGAAATAAAATAAAACGTATTCTTTTTGTTTTATTGCTTGGTAATCATTATGGCGTAAAGGAACGTAAAAGCTTAAAGCGCGCTTTGTCTCGGGCGCGAGCGCTGAGCGTTTTTCTTTGTTGCTTTCTGTGCGCGTGAGCTGCACGCGCTCAGCTCCCGTTATCAAACCGCTGCCTTTATCCTTCCACGGATCTCCTCCCTTTATTTATATTTTCTTATCCTATCTGGGAGGCATTTTGAGTTTACTCATTTAAAAAAAACCCAATTTAAATAGTTTTTAAAGCTGTAGTGACTATGGTTGACTGTTAATCTGGGCGGTGGTTCCCTCACACTGCGACCAGACAGCAGAAATGCGTGATTTGTAAATTGCGGATGTTGCACAGCTGCAACCAGTTTCACAAATTAAACATCTGAGCTCTTAAAGGTTCCTCTTAAAGCAAAAAAAATGCAAGCATTTTATTATTTTCTCAGCTTACGCTGCATGGGAACTCCATTGTTATGTAAATATGGTGTTTTGGAAGGATTCTGTGTCATTGTGCGGAGCCCACCTC